TTATTTTAGGATCTACGGAGTAAAAATAGCAGTCGATGTTTGTAAAGATAATACACATTAAATGTTTCTAAGAATCACTCTTTCTTGAAACGGTCATAGACTTACCAGGGATTTTGTGAGAAGGTATCATTTTCATGATAATATTATCGCACACCTAGATCTAAACTGAGACAACTCAAAAATTGACAATTTTGACTTATGCTTGTATTCAAACACTCGGTTATCATATTATGATCATCAACATAAATGAATACCCAATGCATTAGAAGTAAAAACAGAGTAGAATTTGCTAATTCTAGTTTCAATCATGCTTAAGGTTTAAATTATATTTAAACATCTTTCAGGACGCGAGCCTTAGATACATTAGTTAATTCAATCTCATGACAATGTTGATCTTTGAAATATGAAACGAAAACACTCCACTGTTCATTGTTCCCGGCTCACGGTCAGCTAACAATGTGAAAAAATGCTAAGTATAGAAATACTTCATTAAACTAAGTTTTATCTTCCGTGTTAATCAATGGGCGTGGACTAGTAAAATTTGGTTAGTATTAAAAAGTGTCTTAAAATAACTACCGTAACGTTGTAAAAGAACCCTTGTGAACAAGGCATAACGTTGAATTTGGTTAGTTTATTTTCGGATGATTCCCTTGAGAGTAGTCCGTGTAAGCAAACTAGAGTCTTATAATAACGACGGTAGATTTATTGGTACACCCTAACGCAATCAATTTGAAATTAAGATGTCGGAACATTAAGGTTGTTGTAACTGTTACTGGTCCTTAGATTATAATCTATTGAAAGAGTTAAATGGGGTTTAGGAGAAGCCGTTTATGAACTTGCAGAAAGTGCAAAACTTACATAAGATGATATACCGACTTAACTCACACTAGTCACACTTAAACAACAATATTGGTAGTTGGTACTTTTAATTGTAACAGTAACATTTTCAAGACGCAGAAATACTTAGCAATAATTTAGTAGGTACCTCCTACCTACCTACCTTCAGTAAATAACCTACAATTTCCATTGTGTTTTTACCTCGTTCGTTTACAACAAACCAACCAAATCTAGCCAAAAAAATTCAAAACAATAGTTCCGTAACTATCCGGAGATAAGATCGGAGCATTTCACGTGGAGCGTATTCAATTTGCCGTCGGCGTTGTTGGAAAATAATTAAAAACGCAATTATTTTACGCCGTAAATCCTTCAGTCGCCCCGCCTAGCGTAAACAAACTCAAATTAAAAACGTACTATAAATAAATGCGTCGTTATGTTGTTTTAGTGTAATCGTATATTGACGCTCCTGGTTTAATGGTTTTGTTACCGCGTCACCCGTTCACACCGTGCCGTAACCATGTGAAAGAATATCAATATTTTACCATATCAAAATGTTACAACGAATATTTTTACACAGTTGTCATAACATTACAGCAACTCTGATTGTATCACTAAATTTTTAGTAATAAATAAATACCTCTTTATACACGAAATGTTTAAGATAATTAGGTACATCCTTACTAATAAAAAGCTACACAAGCGTTCATTGTTTGTTTAAAATGACATTTCCATACTAATAGTAGGTAACTTTAAACAAGTGTTCAACCTGCGTGTACCTTTTATATTTTATGTAAAGAGGTTAAATAGAGTAATTTATGTTAAGTATTTAAGTCCTTCCTACCATGCCTAAAAGGGAGATTCTAATCTCAATTCTAAAATCAGAAATAATAAATACTTATTACTTAGGGCAACGTAAATTACAATCTTATCTTTTACATGCATGTACTAACATCTTCATAAACTAACTGTTACGAATACGTTACCGTGTCTGGAATATAGATTCCAGTAAACATCTTCCCTTAACCACAAACTTCGACAGTTTGTGATCTAACTAAGTTCAATTTAACAAACGACTGCGCGCGTAATCAAAATTATTCAGACATTTGATTGGGTAATTTCCTTTGTTCAAGTTATATAAGTTTGATCAACCTTTCAGAAATTGGATAAGTTCAAATTTATTGGCAATCGCTTCATCAGTATTCGATTTGTTTACACGTCACGGGATCATTTTATTATCTACGAATGACTTTAATTAAGGCGATTAAACTGTAAAGGCAATGTAGTTACGTTTCATTCGTTCGTTCGTTTCAGCCAAATGACGTCCACTGCTGGACAAAGGCCTCCCCCAAGGTTTTCCACAATGAACGGTCCTGCGCTGCCCGCATCCAGGCTCTTCCCGCGACCTTTACCAGATCGTCGGTCCACCTAGTAGGAGGAGTTACGTTTATTTCGTTTTTAATTTATGCATGGTTTTTTATTCAAGGTATTTATTCAAGGACAATTTTAAAAGATGAACGAATTCAGGTCTATCGTACAAACACCATACGACATATCAAACTTATAATTTATGAATCAGTAATTTTTTCTTATGAATTTTCAATTTGAGTCTGATTAACCAGAACACGACGCATTCATTTACACCTAAGTATACATATTTGAATATAGGCTTCAATAAAAGTACCTAAAATTAAAGTATTTTTTAATACTAAAACTGTAACACAACTTTCAAAATGTAAAAGTACATATTTAAATGTGATTAAAATTTCTTAGCGATTCCGCTGGGGAATAATAACTTTAAAGAAAATTCTGAGAAAGGGTTTAAACAAACTAAGTATAAATGGTATAAATTTTAATCATTACTATTTTAATCCCGATTTTTACGCTTTAATTTAAATATCATATTTCTTCAATTTGGTTAGAATAAGATAGAGGTATAGCCAGTTCCTCCGTGGTTGAGGATTCCGGGTGAAGCTCGCTTCGACCTTCGGCTTGATCATCACTTACCATCAGGTGAGATACAGGCCAAGAGAGCTTCCTCGTTGTGGATAAAAAATATTTTAAAATTTTATTATTTTGTGAGGTAACGGTGTAAATGTTCCCATCCCGCTTTGCGAATGACTACAGTAAAGCATTACAAGGGCAATCAAAATTCTATCTCATGGTTTCATTTTGTCTCTTTTTAACACTTTCCATCTGAGAGAGAAAGATTTATATAGTTCTTCATATTTTATTATTTAATGGTTTTATACCTATTAATAAAATATAGTTAGGTAATAATTAAACATCACTACCATTATGTCCATAAAGGTTTTAAGATGTGTAATTATATCTACTTATACTGTTATTCGATTTAAATGACAGTTCTAGAAGTCCAATGCCTCACCATAATTGCATGGTTAATTTGNACTATAATTTGCTTTCTACTCATTACACATACACAAGTTTAATTCTAAACGGTTCCGTAGTTATAAGTCGCCCACAAAATCCTAGGTTCGATTTTCGACTGGAAAATAACTTTTTTATTTTTATTACCCAATTTGGTTATACAATTTTCTTTTATAAATGAACTTGTGGCTTTTATCAATGAGAAAAGTGCTTTTCAAAAACCTACTTACAAAAATAAAATTTTATGAGTTAGTCCGATATGAAAGATTCCCGAGGACGTTTTTGGTCTGCCAACATGCTGTCATGATGATTGGCCTAAATAATGTTAGCATGAAAGTATGATATAGGTATAAAAGTATGACAAATGGTATAAAAGTACGACAACATTACGATAGTACTTATATGACAAAGGTATGAAAGTATGACAAAGGTATGAAAATATGAAAAAAGTATGAAACCATAATGACAAAGATATGAAAGTATTATACGTATTTTTCATGCGTATCTTGTGGCTGCCACTGGCAAAAGAGCTGTGGTTGCCATTAGAACCACAGAATACTGTAGTTTACCATAATGATGTAGTTATGGTACCGTTCCTTCAGCAATAAACAAAAGCATTACTTTTGAGTTTCATTATAATAAAACCAGAATTACTTTTCCGAACGCACATTTTAATTAGCAATTAATATTTATTGGCTATAACTATTTGAAGTTACAAAACTTTTCATCGCACTTAACAAATGTTATTAGAATTTCATACGAACTTATGTTGCTGTTCAGTTTATTTTAATTATAACTGTAAGATATTTAATGACGTTTGATTTAAATCATTGTCAATTTAATACTGTAAATGAATGTAGCACGAAATATTATGTATAATTGCACAAGTATAGTAAACAATATTTAGAGTGATTGGCTTTCTTGTAACAGTTTAATATTTGACATTACACAAATATTTCATGAAAATTGTATAAAAATGCACCAATTCATTAATTAACATTCATTGTACTGTTTCTAGACTTTTATTATTTTGAATAACTATTTCATCACAATGTTTACTTATTGAATTCATTACTGATACACAAAGAAAAATATTATGACTAAACTTAAAAACTAATACAAACATCAAATTCTATATCTAAACAAAAAAAACTTATTCTATGGCCAATAAAATGTCCATGAAAAATTAAAAGAGTAAATTAAGCACAATCGAACACACAAACTTCTACTTCTGACAACCATTAATTAACGCTATTTTCCTGTAAAACACACTTCTTCAGCACGCCATAATAATATGAGGCTTATTCTACTATTCCCCGTTAACGCCAAATTGGAGCTTAAAATGGGGAATAATGAACTAAAAAGTTCATTAATCCCCGTTATATTAGGATTTTATTTTTAAAGTAATGGGGATTAATGAACTTTTTAGTTCATTATTCCCCATTATAAGCTCCAATTTGGCGTTAACGGGGAAGAGTGAACAACAAGTTCACAATAGTGGAATAAGCCTTAATATGAGACATGGAGCTTAGTGTGAGTTTACATGAAACGTGAAGAGTCTCTAGGACTGGGTAAAAAAATGACATTAAATGTATGACTGATTGTACAGCGACCCTAGTGGATTCTTTCAAGAACTAAAATCTTTATATTTTTTTGACGCGCTCACTAGTGAAGACGTTTGATGTAAACTCACACTAAGCCCTCTGGTTAACAGCGGCTGTAGTCAAGTTAAGTAAGGAACCTTATTAAGGGGGTGTGTATCCAATGGCTGGTACGAGCATCTATTATTCTGTATTCTATCTTAAAGAAGCACACACTTCTTCAGCAAGTCATAGAAACGCTGTCGTTGATGATCAGCGGTTTGAGGCAGCAACACACACTTTTTCAGTGTTTAATACTTCTTGAGCGGATTCAATAAGGAACCTAAGGGGGTATAGTATGTAGGGTCTATTGTCCTGTAGTCTACCCAAAAGAAGCACACACTTCTTCAGCATGTCGTAAAATCAAGAAGCCTGATTGGCGTTGGTGATTAGCGGCTGAGGCAGGAACACACACTTCTTCAGAAAGTCATAGGATCATGAGGCCTTTAGCAGCGAATTAAACAAGGAACTTTGAAAGGGCCAATGATTCGTACATAGCGTCTAGTGTGGAATCTTAAGGGGGCATTGACCGTAGCGTCTATTGTCCAGTAGTCTAAACTAAAGAAGCACACACTTCTTTGGAAAGTCATAGGATCATGAGGCCTGGTTAGCAGCGAATTGAACAAGGAACTTTAAGGGGGTTATATCCAATGATTCGTACGTAGCGTCTATTGTGGAACCTAATGGGGGTATTGGCCGTAGCGTCTATGTCCTGTAGTCTAAACTAAAAGAAGCACACACTTCTTCAGCACATCGTAAAATCAAGAAGCCTGGTTGGCGGCGGCTGTGGTGGCCTCCACACTGGCGTTAGTGATCGCCGGGTAAGGCAGCAACACACACTTCTTCAGAAAGTCATTCATCAGTCAGCGGATTGAGCAAGGAACTTTAAGAGGGTCATATCCAATGATTCGTACGTAGCGTCTGTTGTGGAACCTTAAGGTATTCTATTGTTCTGTAGTCTACTAATTAAAGAAGCACACACTTCTTCAGTACGTCGTAAAATCAAGAAGCCTGGTTGGCGGCGGCTGTGGCGGCTGCCACACTGGCGTTGGTGATCGGCGGCTGAGGCAGCAAAAGGTCTGCAAGGCGACCGGCCTCTCTCAGGCCTGAGAGGAACGCGCCGTGAACCGTGGCTGGGTAGTTGCGCATTGTGTGCTCACCTGTGCGAATAAAAATGTATATTTCAACTATCAGAGTCAGACCATTAATGGAGAAGTCTTCCAGTGACTTGGCCCACTTTCAGGGTGATTCACAAGCCAAGTCATCGGATTGAATTTTTAAATTATATTTTTTTCCAGCAACTGATCCCACTCTAAGATTCGAGAGTAGACTTTTATAGATTTGGTGTTTAATTTATTAATAAAAACATTGAAGGTGGGCCCAGTTGCTGAATGAAAAAATATTTAAAAATTCAATCCAGCGGCTTGGCCCGTTGACTAAGCTAAAAATGGGCCAAGTCATNACTTGGCCCGTGGATCAAGCTAAAAATGGGCCAAGTCACTGGAAGACTCTGGTATTAATATAGCACCGAAAAACTACTCGATCGAGAAATCGAGGCAACTGTAGTTATCAACCATTTAACCCTTGCGGCCTTGTGGTAAGCTAATATAATGTTTGTGTTACAAGTTCACCACAATAGGCCAGCGGCGGCGGGGTTCGAATCCGCGTTCCTCGGATCACGAATCGGCCAATCCGACACCTTTACCGTTCGGTTATTATCGCTTATATTGCTAATATCTCTCTATGATATATTAAACCGACAGAATTTAGCGTGATACTCATCAAACAAGCCACAAAACTAGAAGCAAAGCCAAGCTTAAACCGGGGGTGACGGTCTCTCGCATGTTTAAAACTTTAAAGTTTGGAACTAACTTTCGTAGCTGCTGACAACTTTTTATCCTTTGCTTAAAATGTGTTAATAATAAGTACTACTTAAGTACTTACATAAAATATTAAAATGTATTAATAATTTAAAAGAATAACAGAAAATTCATAAAGCACACGATTGTAATGACTACTAAAATGATAAATCATTATGGTAAAAACAATACATTTTTATCAAGGCCGTGTCATCATTTTCTTTCTTGGAACACCCTTGATCTAGTCCAGTCCGTGATTCCTAATTTAAACTTTTGAATTGCAGATTGACCAGTAAGAAAATGCCACAGACCAGCGAAGAACAGCCTGTTGTCTCCGGGTGAGCCGGGCACGGGCGCAGCCAGCAAATCGTAGTCCGTTCCCGACGAGCCCACCGCGACAAAACTGTACGAGCCTCGGGCGAAGGGATCCGCACGCCATCTGTTTAAAACAAATTAAAAGTTTGTACAAATCTTAGGCTGATTGTATAGTTTTTTTTCTCGCTGAAAGGCTGGATTTTTAGAGCTAAAGTAGGTAGTAGAGTGGATTGAAGTACTTGATAGTCGAAACATTTGCGCAAACTGTGCAGTTTCAAATATTTAAAAGCCACCTTTTGATACATTAAAATATGGATATGGTGACTCAAACAGTCTGATACCCGGGGCTGTTCAGTCAGTCAAAATGATATCAAGGGACATTTAATTTTATGCTTAGGGTATAATATCTGAGTTACCAATGAATTAAAAATACAAAATCCACTTGTTCATAAAAAGACATTGAGAATGTGACTCAATGGTGTCAATTTTCTAAATTTTCTCACCTAGTGACCACACATTCCTTAGGTTGCGGCACGGCGGCATGACCGAAGATGCTCTTCAGCACAGCGATGCAGCGGCCGACGATGACGTCATCGGTGACGTTCTCCATCACGGCCGCGGCTTCCCCGGCGACCAGCGCGAGAAGAACCGGAGCGCTCCACAAGTTCCAAAAGAGGAACAGCTCACCTTAAAATGGATATACATTATATCATGAATGATTCTTTCACACAAGGTGGACCGACGACATCATAAAGGCGCAGGAAGGCGCTGGAAGCAGGCCGCTACTAACCGGGCAACATGGAAAGCATTGGGGGAGGCCTATGTTCAGCAGTGGACGTCCTATGGCTGAGATGATGAATGTTAATACTTTCTTTGCATCGGTACATTTGTGTATTTCAGACGAAGAAATTAATTGTTTGTTTGAAATTCTATTATTATGAAAACAAATCTTTGATTAAAAATGGAGAATCTCTATGACAAAGTCCATCAATTCAGGATATTGACAGCGCATCGATAACATGGAATATTTGCGTTCAGTTTCATAAAATTCAATTTTTGATAGATTAAATTCCATGAATCCTTAGAGACGAAGCCGTGATTTATGTTTTATGAGGAGTTAAAAAAATATTGGCAGTAAACATCTCTTCCGAAGCGTCGATCACTCATAAACTTCCAATCTGAAGTCATGACTCCCCAAAACTAATTACTTCAAAGTCTGACAACATACATTAGCTCATTGTGTTTCGGCACACGTTATTACTTACAAGTCAATCTCGGCCGGTACACAATAGAGCTGGAAGAAAAAAAGTCTGTTCTCATGAAGGGTTAAGACATGAAATAATTGCTGCGTATTGTTTTAGCGTGTCAAGTGACGTCATGATATTTTTATCTCTGTGTTTTCTAGATAGGAAAAATTTTTGAGATTTGAAAAATAGAAGAAACATAATTTTTCTGTTTTTTTAATAGGGGAAAGACCTTTTCATTTGTCATAAAAATAGTATTAAGTAGGTACATAGTCATAAAAAAGTAGTAAATCAAGTCATTTGGTCTCTACTGCTGTAGAAAGTCTCTCTCCAGTTTACCAGAGCCAATGATGATTTGACCTACACTCTTTCCACAATGTCCAGATAGTTAGAGAAGGCCTCTTGTTCACTTGTCAGGCCTCCCCAACAAATGCTATGACAATTTTTTTCCCTAACCCACTGTGCTCAACGAATGCTAGACTGCTATGTGAGCACACTGAATGTACTTTCACTTTTTTTTTGTCAGGAAAATACAGCCACATACATTCCGCGGGGGCAGCTAGTGGGTTATGTGAGATTCTTTATGCCAGAAGGACACGGCCTAGCCACTAAAAACCTGACATTGCCCTCTGCAAGCTATATGAGTCAAACATGAACTCACTCAATGTGCCTTCACTGTATTGTGGTACAAGATTTGTTCACATAACATACCTCCCCAACAAAGGCTGTGTCAATTTTTCCCTAGCCTACTGCTCAATGAATGTTAGACTGCTATATGAGCATACTGAATGTACGTTCACTGTGTTGTGGTACATGACTTGTTAAAGCCGTGCCTTGTTTGAGTTCCCCGCATAGTTCACGATAGTTGCTCCATAACGGTGAACTGTATCATCTAGTAGTAACCGGGATTCGTTAGGTGTTACGCAATATTTGAACAACGTTGAAGTTTAGCTATTTGCTCTAAACATATTAATTAGCATGAACTATACCGCTAAAGTTTGATGTAACTTATTAATTTAGGTTTCGGAATTGATTTCGTGAACTTGGTTAACTAGGGAGTAACAGGAGATTTGAAATCCTTTGGGATCTTTGTGTTTATGTAGATGAAAAACATCAAAAATTTCTAACAGACGATTTTTATCGCACTTTTTTATATCTCCTTCAGCAAGGAGATATAAAACTAATTACTTTTAAAATATTTATGCACTCCACCATTTCACGTGAAAGTGCGTGTCTTTTCAGAAGCATCTTAGACATTTTCAAATCAAAAATAATATTTTCTAATGCTCCAAATGACTTAATCTCATAAGACATTATTGCCAGCCTTTAATAAAACGAGAGCCTTGAAAATTGAAACATAACATTCTAAAGAAATAAACTGATCAAGTCCTGAATTGGGGGCCCTTAGAAAAATCTTCCAAAGTGTAAGGAGCGGGGGCAATAAATTATGGAAATCAAGCCATTGATTCTTCCAGATACAAGGGAGACTGTGGTGGGTTCGTTCTCACATAATTCTCGAACGACACCGGCGATAGCAGCGCATCAGATAGCCCTTAAACACGAGCGGGTACCAAAAACGTTAAATTGGCCACGATCAACCTTCCAGTGCTCGTGTTGTTGGACAACACTATTGTGATTCCATGAGTACTATTTTAGTTGATTTTCAGCAAGTTTTCTGCATTTTTTCTGTATCCTCTCATTGCTTTTTTATTATTTTAGAAAGTGCACGAAAATAACTCAGCGTTATTTTTCTTTTTGCTATTATTTCCTGTTTTAATTTAATTTGAATCTAAATAAATAAATCTAAAACCTATTGTGCTTTTACAAAGTTAACTTAGTTTATAACAAAGCTACGACTGTGAATGAACACCTGTTATAATTAAGATCTAAGCTGTAAAAACTGTAGACATTTACAAATATGCCAACATTTTTGGAATGAAGACGTTTCAATTCTTAAAGACCGAGACAGGACCGATGGAGGGTTAAAAAATCACGAGCCCTTCCCTCATTGTTCCATACGGCGAGAGCTTAATGAAGTTACCGGAGCTCACAACAAAGGTAAAGTGTACTAAAGCATAACGTGAAAAAAAGCTTGTCTTGCGTGTGATTTATTACTTGGGGCGCCCCCTCGCGGATCTCGGTGGCGTTAAATTATTCAGCTTTTAATTCGTTATCGTCTACACTATTTACATAGCGAAGTAATTTGGGGAACGCAACCTGGGACTCGTGGGAGGTGTGAAATTGGTTGGTAATTTGTAGACAATCTNAATGAATATGTATAGATAGAGCATAACTTATAAAGAAACTGCTCGGTTTTGTTTAAAGTGTCTACATATTAAGATACATTTTAATCTACAGGACACTAAAGCTACTTAAAACTAAACTAATTTGCACAGTAGCAATGAATATTTAAAGTCCTATAAGTTTTAGACTTATTGTGAATTCACCAAAAATCTTTCCTTTAAGGCCTGCGAATCTAGACACAATAGATAATCAATTGTTATGACATTAATTAATGTCGTCTGGGACTCAAGCAGTTAAATGATAATATACGAGTAATGGTGAAAGTCGCGGGATGTGCCAAGATGTGGGCGGCGCAGGACCGGTTGTTGTGGAAATCCTTGGAGAAGGCCTATCTACGTCCAGCAGTGGTAGTCATTTGGCTGAAAGGAACGATATAGGTAATAACCAGTGAACAGAGCACCACATACCTAGACTTGAGCCTCCCCAAGGAGCACCATTGCCACACTTTAGTCATTCGATGGGTGCCGGGAATAAAGCCACAATCGACAAAACACAATTTTACAGGAAAAGAGATTTAGTGTCAATTTTGAATAATTCTAAACTACAAGGAGTATCAAAACGTTTTGTACATCAAACGATGCGTTATTTTTTCTGGAGTAACATTTAATGTGCATAAGGTTATAGTGCTTAGAATATACTTTAAAAAAGGTAGAAATACATATTGCCGCTTCATACATTGAAAGTCGGTTCCGTAAGAGTCCATTGTGGTTTTATTCCGGTAAAAAGTATGCAATTAATCAAACAGTAATAGTGTATTGCAGCCTCGGGCGCTGATCTGAAGGATACAGTAATAGCTGTTTGCTTGTAGAAGATTTAAATAAAAGTTTTAACATTGTANTCCTTTATTCGGTTAAGGACAGATTCTGTTTAGGACAGATTCGGTTTACGACAGATTCTCTATACGACAGATTCGTTTTAAGACGGATTTTGTACAGTCAAGAAAAAATGTTTTTTATAACCAACGCAACGTCTCATGAAAATCCGTTTTTAACCGACTTCAAAAAGGGAGGATATTATAATAATAGGTTCGGCTGTAACTGTATGAATGTTTTTTTTTTCTATGTATGTTCACCGATTACTCCGTCAATTGTGGACCGAATTTCAATTCTTTTTTTGTTTGACAGGGTACACTTCAAAGGTGGCCCCATTGTCACCAAGTCAGGATCTGATGATGGGATCCTAGAGAAATCGAGGGCAACCCTCAAATTTTATAGGCACGTACATCGTACATATATCGTTTTTCATATTGATTCTAAAGTTATTCAAGTATATGCGTCTGGTAGTCATCACCTAATATTGACGAGGTGATGATGGAAGGTAAACCTCCTTAACGCTTAGGAGTTGGAGAATAATTATTTAAATATTTTAGGTACGTATGTACATACAGTTGTATTACTTCAGGGTTTTTAGGTAAGCTGATGATGAAAGGTCGAACTTCAAAACTATATATAGAATAACAAGGAGTAATCAACTAAAAAGCATGAAATAAATTAATTTTAACAAAAAAATTAGAACCGACTCCAAAAACCGGCACTAAAAAGTTGAAAATAAATACATTATTTATTTATTTATTAGGACAAATGAGTACTCTTTGGTTTAATTATGATACTGGCTATTTGATTTGAAGAAGATCGGTATATTGTGCATATTAAAAATATGACTGACATTTTCATGTCAATTGAAATATTATTTTTGAATTGTCTGCGTTTTCAGAAAATTAGTTCAATAAATAATCATCTTTGCTGATACTAAAAAGTGTATAATGGATTTGCCAGGTCCCAGTAGCGGGGAAGCTTCACTAAAAATTATTCATGGTAAAAAAGGAAAACCTGTTATATTGCGAGCTGGTTACCGATATAATTTTGTGCAGAAGAATAAAAATGGGACAACAAATTGGAGATGTTTTAAAAGAAATGAATGCAGTACGTCTATTACGCTAAACGATAGTAACGATATTATAAAAGAAGGAAAGCACACTTGTGTTGCCGATGAAAAAAGAAATTTAATAGACGGACTGATGGAAGATTGTAAAAAGAAAGTGTGCGAAAATCTGGAACCTATTCCAAAGATCTATGAAAATTTTATGGAGTCTGTAAATTGTTTAGAAGAGCACGATAAACCAAGGTTTGAAGAAAAAAAAGATTTACTATACAAAGCCCGAAAAGATTATCTAAATTTAGACAAAACAACCATAAAAAATCTAAAAGAATTGAAACTACCTCATAGCCTTGTCGAGGACTTTTTTTTATTTGATGAAGGATTAGATGATAAAATATTAATATTTGGAACGCCTTTGGCCAAGGAATATCTAAAAAAATCGAAGTGTTACTACGGCGATGGCACATTTAAAGTAGCATGCAGACTTTTTTACCAGTTGTACACCTTACATATCAATTTATCACAGGATGACGAAATGGTTAACTTTGTGCCCCTACTCTACATACTTTTACCTAACAAAACACAAAACACCTATGAAAGGTTATTTTTAATTTTACGGAACCAATTCAAAGTCGTAATTGAAAAATACAGATGCGATTACGAAATTGCAGTGATCCAAGCCGTTAGAATTATTTATCCAGAAGTGAAAATTACAGGATGCTATTTTCATTATTGGAAGGCTTTATTTAAAAACAGCACAAAAATCGGGTTTGATAAAATAGAAGGTGGAAATTACGTTACCAAACTTTATATGCAACTTGCTTTGCTTCCCCCAATTTTGATCCCTGAAGGTGTTTTATCTATACAACATTTTGCCAATGAATCCGAAGAATTTACGAAATTTAACGATTATTTCACAAAACAATGGTTGACATTGATAACGCAGGAAATATTCAGCTGCTATAACCAAAGTTTCAGAACCAATAATTCAGTGGAGGGCTGGCATGGCCGTCTGAGAAAACGGTTTCCTCTTAGACCACAAATTTTTCACTTTATCCAATTATTAAAAAAAGAAGCTAAGTTCCAAGAAAAAAAAATAATACGATCAGAAACTTACTGCAAAAGCAAGCGGCGAAGTACNTGAAGTACCAAGTTGGTTGAAAATAAATAAATAAATAAAAAAAATATAGACCGTGCACTGAACAATGAAATAAGTGTCCTCGAATGCTTAAAACTATTGTGCAAAGTATAGCTATGCAATTTTATTAATATTTTAACTTTTTTTGTTTAAAAGTACTTAGCTAAATAAACTTTATTTTTAATAATCTTTCTTTTGAATTATGTACTCAATTGTATCTCTGTCTTAAAACCAATCTGTCTTAAAGAGAATCTGTCGTAAACCGAATAAGCCGTATTAATATAATTGCGTCTTTCACTATCACTACAATATGCATCGACAATCCTGCAGTCACAGATACTCTACAAGTGAATTCTTCTTACAATACCCCTTTATCTTCTTCAGCTCCAGCGGAGACTCGTTTTCATATGCGATAATGATAAATCACCTTCTATCCAGCAGGGGTGGGCAACGAGAATGTGTCAATACTCAATTATTTATTGCTTCCATAATGTTTACAAAAGGTGTTTCTTTGAACAGCGAGATTTTTTTAAACATTTGTGGCACTGTCAGGGTTGTGCAGCGGGAATAATCGGCGAATATTAACGTTTTTAAATACTTAATAACGTTACATGACTTCGATGGTGTGAACTGACCATTGACAGTGCCCACCACCCACCTTGCATATAGCGAATACCGACCGCGGTCCTCATGATGCACGAGCTGTCGAATTTTGAAACCGTATTCAGAATATTGAGATTAAATTAATTAAACCAAGACCTACATTTCAATGTGACTTCATTAGAGCGATCTACATTATTAATCAATATATCAATTATTACATTATCTCCCTCAAGTTACTTCTTAAGGTCAAGTTCGCTTGAGACAAACAGACAAACATCTTAATTATTATTGTGACTTGAACCCAAGTCAAATGATATTTTCCAAATGGCATCCATTCAATTTCGTTGGACGCGGCTAAGCATAGTTTTTGTTTTAATTTCAATCATTTTTTTGGTAAACTGAATACCACAAAGCCTGATCAGACAAACATCTTAATTATTGTGACTTGAACCCAAGTCAAATGATATTTTCCAAATGGCATCCATTCAATTTCGATGGACGCGGCTACGTATAGTTTTTGTTTTAATTTCAATCATTTTTTTGGTAAACTGAATACCACAAAGCCTGATCAGACAAACATCTTAATTATTATGACTTGAACCCAAGTCAAATGATATTTTCCAAATGCATCCATTCAATTTCGATGGAAGCGGCTACGTATAGTTTTTGTTTTAATTTCAATCATTTTTTTGGTAAACTGAATACAACAAAGCCTGATCAGACAAACATAGTAATTATTATGACTTGAACCCAGGTCAAATGATGTTTTCCAAATGGCATCCATTCAATTTCGATGGACCCGGCTTTGTTTTAATTACAAATTTTTTTTTGGTAAACTGAATACCACAAAGTCTGAACGATCCGACAGACAAACCTCTTAATTATGGTGACAAGTCACCTAAACTGAATACTTACCACAAAGCCTGATCAGACAAAAAAATTAATTATTGTGACTTGAACCCAATTCAAATGATATTTTCCAAATGGCATCCATTAAATTTCGATGGAGGCGGCTAAGTAATTGTTTAAATCTCAAAAGGTTTTTGGTAAACTTCTTTATTTCCACTGATACCCAAAGCCTTATTTCAAATTATTATTTTTACTTGCCAATAACAAATTTAAAGCATTTGGGTTTAGAATTCACCCAGGATTTTGGGGTACCGATTCGAAGATGACAGTTGATAGTTACTCCTCACTCATGAGTTAAGACACCAATACTATTAATCCTTTAAACTTTAATTTTACTGCGTCTTAAGTTTTATGATTCATCTAGTGTCTTCCATATGACTGACAAAATCAATAATATTAAGTAGGTATCCAAGAGCTTCCAATCCAATTTTCTATCTACTTAGTATTAATTTTCTTTAAAACTTAAAAAGTTCAAATGCGTAATGATACGCAATGATGAACACACAAACTAAGTAAAAATCAAGAAACCAGTCACAATTTTGTAAAACCAAGTTCAAGTCAATTGAAAAACCAAATAACTACAACGAATAACGTTTTAATCATGAAAACTAGTGATAATCGACAAAAGTTCCAACATTTTTTTACCCAGTCATTAGTATTTTTTCCCCTAATATAGCAACGACAAACAAAACGCTGCATTTAATCATGTTTACAGAACAACTAGTTAATTCTACATTTCGAGACAAATAAACGTTGGAAATTTGGGAAAACAAGAGAACATGAAAAGACAATATAACAAAAACAAATGAAAAACAAAAAAATAGTGGGAAAACAATTAAACAACAAGCACCTAAGTACAAGGAGTTAGTGTGGACAGTTACTGTTAACCACAGACAAAAGAAGAAGAAAAGAAAACAACTAATGCCATTTTTCAGGTTAATATTTTTATTTTTACCTTTTTGTTATGTGCATTGATTGAAATTGTCTGTGTAAATGGTGGAAACTTTATTGATTAATGTTTTTATGCTGGAATTCTGTTTCATTTTCAAATTGTTCATTTTTTTGTAATGTTGATTTAACTAGATCACTCTAATGGAGGCAGTCCAATATAAATATGAGGTCTTGGTTGAATTAACCACACGACTATCTGAAGAATGATTTCGACACGTATGAAGTACCGAACTACAAAGCGGGTACTAATTTTACTATAGATAAAACAGTGGAAATAGTCACTGAAACGAATTGTAACTATTTGCCACTACATATAGTTCAATCTTGCTAGCAAAGTTTCCGGTTTAAACTAATAGTCACGCTGCATAAAACTAGAAAAAGATGAATATTCAAATAAAACGAATTCTCCTATAATTCTTTATTTTTTGTTCTCAGTATTATTACATGATCAATTTAATACAGAACAAGTGATGGATGATCTTCTAAAGCAAGCAAGTAACACGCAATTATTACTTTGTGTTCGCTGTTATTAAACTACATTTAATGTGTGCTTATTACTGCTTATGCTTTTAATTTGGCCTCAAATTTACTTAACATTTTTTGGATCATGACAACACATCAGTTTTTTTTTAAATATGTTTGTAGTAGTAGACAATGCACAATATGTTTTCTTGACGGTATTGATGGTATTATTAAATAGAAATAAATAATTTGTTGACACTAGAGAACGACCGATTCTTAAGCTTATTACAGCACCTTATGAAAAAATATGATTCGATTAAATATTCGTGTTTGTGAGTTAATAATTATTTTGGTAAAAGTTGACAAAATAATTTCATTGTTTGTTACATCTAATTGTACTTTTTATAATATTTATTTATCAAATAAGTATACGAGAATAATATTTTTACGGAGACCAAAAAGTATGTCAAGCTAAGAAGTAGAACATCCTTAGGGCTACTACTATCACCACCATGTTATTACTGTTTTTTGTACGACGTTCACGATTTAGCCGTGAGCATAAGTGCATGATTCGAGTATGTAACGTTATGGGTGTTATTTCTTTGCTTCCGCTTGACATAATTTTTGGGACATACCTATGTCGAGCTATGTTTGGACTTTTTATACCAAAGTTAAACTTGGAGAACGAATACATAAATATGCACCTTTTGTATTCATCGCTTTAATTATTTTGTTTGAAAATGTATAATTAAATGAATAGATCGGCTCAGGTACTTCGATTAAACTCGAAACATAGCTCACAGCGCAGTGTTATTAAATTCATCTACATTTACAATATATCTACGTAGGTCAAAACGAGGATTAAATATGAGTTACATCCATAAACAACAATAAAACAAAACCATAATTTTGGGAAGAACTAGAATCGACTAATCACTTCAAACGAAATGATTAAAAAGTTCCCAAAATAGGTACTTACTTGGAATAGTTTACTGATAAGAAGTGAAATCTACAACACATATACATATACATTGCACATTAATATAAATTGATATGTAACATTATATACAATAATTACTAGGTATTTTATAAACAGCATTACTAAAATCACCTCATCAATAAATAATAAAATCACTAGGTAAAAAAGCGTTATACAAAAAATATAACTATAATTACGCAAACTATACAGATATTATTTTACAATGAGTAAAGCAGTTGCAGCGACAGTCCTTTAATAATTCTACATCCTAATAGCTATAAACAAAGAAATGTCCACTTTTATAGTCTCTATAGTAACATTAATATACAAATAAAAATTACGTGTCATTTATGTACATAATATAATAATATATAAAAATACGTATCATGGTTTGAAATGATTCTTTAATAAGTAGCCATTTCCTTGTTTACTTACTTTGTTGACATTTAATTAAATGTTGTCCAGCCTTTGGGCACACTGGAGCTAGCCTCCTGCCGAGTGCCAGAAGAACTGGCCGAGTAGGAGTCCAACAAACCAAATTGACTAAAGTCAAGTCCGTATTCATGTAAGAGAGCACTGTCGGTAGACGACTTGATCTGTTCAACTTTGTCTTTTTCGCGGCACATCAAGGGATCAAAATCTTCTAAGCTTGATGGCGAATCATCCAGTTTAATGAGATCTGACACTGAGCCCAACGACTGAAAAAGAAACACAATATGAAAGTTACACAAAACCAACACAACCCCGCCCCATCTCCGTCTTTTATTTAATAATATGAAAAATATGACTGATTTAGTAACTATTACGGTTAAGTTATACAATCATACACATTATACATAAAGTACTTTGTAATGGAATATGTATATATTTTTATTGTTATTATGTGGAGCGCATTATGCGACGTTCAGTGTTTAAAAAAATAAACTTACTGAGTGTCCGTAAAAATGGATAATAGTAATCGGTATTTGTTTGTACCTGGGAAGAAGTTACGAATTGGTTCACAAGAAATGAATAAGAGAGACGATGAAATCACACCTTTGGATAAAAGGATTAAAATGTAAACACTAATACTGATAGGCCCGAGATACCTCCGAACTCATGGAGCGAATTTCAATTTTCTGTGAATTATATTTATTTATCGAACCAGAACAAAGACACTGCAAAAGCAAATACATAACGCCCCACTAATTATTATACTAATTGACACAGTGAAAGGAGGTTAGAAACGATCAAGTATAAGACTAAAAGTAACCCTGTTTTTTAAACTAGTCAATTAAAAAGCTCCCAATATTATTATGACGTTTTATTTCTAGAACAAAAATAAAAAAATCAGTGACAGTTTCAAATACGTTCTCCCAGTAATAAAAACAACCCTAAATATATACATAAGAAGGAGTAGTTTAGAATGTTCAGTCTTTTAATCATTCCAAATAAATAAGAAAACTGTTAGATTATTATTATTATTTAAAATTAGAATATTGACATTTGAACCGTACATAACAAATTGTATAAATTTAATTTTTCTTGTTCAAATATCAAATTACTAACTCAAAATAAAATAATTAGAGTAACTAAGTAACTACATAATATCAATTCACACAGATCATGCATATAATTTACGTTATTTGTATTTTAAAATAGGTTAAAAGAGCAAGACTAAAAAGTATGAAAACTGCTTGAAAATATAGTCCCCCGTAGAAAATTAAAGTATTTATCCAAACTTTCCACCGGGAAACTGTTAACAGTGTACAGTGAGCCAACATTTTGCATTTTACAAGTTAAAATAGACCTTTTACTCTGAAATTATAATAAAATAATTATATTATTTAAAAAAAAATAGTTTCTTTTCTAAAGGTATTTTTAGAACTGGCTCACTTAAAAAGAATACAATACATAATTCATATTATCGGTGAACGGCAATGTAACACAATAGATATTTGTCTTCAAACCACGTTTATTGGCTAACTGTATTGTATACTATTAGAAAATATTATAAACAAAAGTACGTGCTGTCTATGATAATGATAAAAAGAAAAGCAGCATGTGAAACTAGAAGGCAAGTTTTTAGTATAATAATATTGTTAGCAATAGTGATAGTGAAGGTAGGAGGATGTCATTATATTTTATAAGGGAACCATAATAATGCACACAATAGTCATAACTACCTAAACATTATATCTGTATTAAAAGCAGTAATGAAGCAAAATATTTTATACAATCGGATACTAACACGGTGTACCATTATCACAAATATCAGGTTATTAATCCCTTGAAGATAAAAGCATACAATAAATGATATCTGGATTATTCAGCACAAAGGGATCAAGGCTAACAGCTTCTCTTAGGTGTACTGGTTCGCGTTGTCAAACCAGCGAATGTTCACCAATTAAGCACCAAGGCATCAAAATTCAGGAATAATTACCTTTTTAAATATCAATCGTGGCGAATCTCTCTAGTGATATTTGTAGCTTTACGTTCACATCACGTCTGCAGCTTTACTTAGTTTTATAATAAAAATAAAATAGTATTTCTTCCATTATAACGCCAACTGTAATCTTTATACATTATAGGTACCTAGGTATGTAACTATGTTAAGACTAAAAATGTGAGCTTATTCCAAAACACCACATCCATCGATACGCTTAGAAAGGATCGAGTTGTAGTGAGGTGTAGATAATTACATCGTGAAGAATAAAGGGACAACCTTGTATATGTTAGAAATATATTAAACCATAATCATTAACAATAAATTAAATTTAAATAGATACATATTTAACAATAGTAACGCAGTTAAATTCCATGTGTTAGTGCAAACAAACTCCACTCTTGGTGTGTTCATGGTACGTATGCAATCATTTTTTGTTTTATAATAAGATACAATATTGAAATGATTACAAATGCACATATCACAGTTACCTCTTGAGCTTTCCCTTTCGGAGCTATGTTGACAGTGGGTCGAGTAGTGGCCCTGGGTAAATAATCTTGGTTCTGCCTAACTCCTAGGGACGGTGCCGTTATTTTAGGCGCGTTGCCGTTACATGGCAAAGTCGCACTCTGTTGTGGCACCTTTCTTTGATTGGATGAAATGGTAAGTTTTAGTTTGGCTTTATCTGTGCCTTCTATGAATCGTATTGCACTGGTGCGGAAGTCTTTCTCCGTTGCTATATCGTTTTTTGTGATGTTGCTGACAAAGTGCGTATTGTTCGGTGGTGGGACCGACCGCGGCGGCGGGGTCGGCGCATCCGAGAGGTCAATTAGTTTCCTCGTGGAAATGATTGGGTAACGGAGTGGGAGTTGGGGACGTTCTGGTAACCGAGGTGGGAGACATGGTGACAGTGTTTTCTGCAAAATAAAATTGAATAATGTGCCACGGTGCCCCTAGAGCGTACGCATGCTGGATGCGGCGCAACTAACATAATGGGCTATGTAAAATAATGTGCAAGTAAATAACGATTTTTAAAAATTTGTAAATAGACTAATAATAAAATTGTACAAGATTGAAATCCAACATTCGTATACAAGCTTCAGGCAAAGTAATATGAGTTGGAAAATAAGTAATCAACTCTCTTATGATGGTTCTTTCCTTTCACACTACTTTACAATAACACCTGTATGTCTATGGGGCTAAACAAGCATAATACAATTTTGAAAAGCCTGATACAAAAAACTAAAAATCTACGAAAATTGATAGCAAGTGGGTAATGAGCATTTCAAAACCAATTTATTAATATAAAACAGCATATTAACATATTTTTAGAGTGCAAAAATTTCCCTTAATATTATAGCTCGAGACCGGGAAATACTATTTCCCACAATCCTGTGTAAATTATATCAGTAGAATCACATTGGAAAAGAAATACCGCGTGGCGAGATACATAGGTAATTTTTTTCCTGCGTGCACGTCTGGGTTTTCATACAAAGGTGCATAAGTGCATATGCCACGGGAGAAAGTGAATCTGCTATTTCTTATCAGTCATTCATTTCAGGCTAATTTATTGATTTTGAAACACTCGAATAAATGTAAATTAACTATAAAATCATAACTTTGTAGTTGTGTGGATTGTCATCCTAAAGATATTTTATTGCATAGGCGTTTTTCCATTTGCCGATCAAAGGATGGCATGGTCACCGAAAATTTATTTCAGGAATTTAAGGCTGTCTTGAATATCAATAATTTGAGTAATTACAGGCTAAAATGTATATTAAATTTTGAATAAAATCTGAAAGGATTTTAAAAATTTAAAATCCTTTCAGATTATAATCAAAATATAAACAACTCCGTTTCTCTTATCTGTTCCGAATACAGAAAGGCAACTATAGACCCAATACAATGAACTGTCCCACCCCTGACATTGACACGGAGGCGCCACCGTCAATACCGGATCGCTGGTTCCGATTTTTGCCATGTGGAAACTATTGAACGATGGTGGCGCCCCCCTGTCAATGAGTTTGGTGGCACAGTTCAGTGTAGGTCATCTATATCCAAATTCTTACATTTTGATGAGCCATCATGGATACCGTCAGTAATGTCCGGGTTAAATAGTTCGTGACACACAAAGTAGCCAAAAAGTTGACAACACAACCTAATTCCAAGTAACAAAGACGCGTCACGAACTATTTGACGCTAACTGTACAGCTGACCAATGGAAAAACAACAAATGAAAAGATGACAACCGTTAAAAGTTATGATTCACACTAACAAGCATGACGGTTACAGTACGAGATAGCGTTTAACGAGCTTGCTAATTGAGGTACAATAATTTACAGAGCCGCTAAGAGTTCCACTTACTGATTTATCCTGTAAGCTGGCGTCTGAATTGTGCGAACTATTTGGGAAGCTATCACGTCGTTGTGCGTTTTTCTTCGAGAATAGGAACTCCATTTCGGTGAGCAAGTCGAGAGGTAACGCAGGGGGGGCCTCACGGGGCGGTGGGTCGTGCGACGGCGATGAATCTGATGATGAGTCTGATGACACAGGCGTGGCTGAACCGCACGAGAATCTGTGGACAGCAACGTAGTGTATAACAAGAAATAAATATTCACCGTAGGTTCGATGTTTTGCAGTTTTTCCAATATTTCCAAAATATTATACGTTGCTTGGCCGGCCGGCCGTTAAGTTGAAAGAGAATGAAGACGCTAAGAAAAAGCCGAAGACTGCCGAGCGCGCCCGATGGTTCATCATCGGCTACCTTCGCCGCTCTCCGTCCGTTATTTGAATTTAGGCGCGAACACGTAGAAATTCAATGTTATTTCTAATTTATTTTTTCTTCATTCTTCAGATTAAATTCATTGCGGGTTCTAATAGAGACAGAAAGTTATCTCTAGAGACTACTTCACCTTCACTGGTAGGTTTCATAGGAGGCGCAAGTATAGCAGGAAAGAGAGAAGGGATTAGCTCGTTGTTTAATACTCAGATGCTTGCTTGCCTATCGTCATCTGCTGGAATGTTTTTACTTTTGCGTATAAATCAAGTACATTGTGATTTTTTTACCTGCTATCATCAGTCGTATTAATTGAAGATGGTCGGGATCCAGTTCGTGGTATTTTGTTTTTCAGCCCTCTTACAGCTGATTTCATATTTTTACCACCTTGTCGAACCTTAAAAAAAATGGTATAAAGAGGTAAGAAAATATTACACTACATTATATTTTATAACATAACAATTCATGAAGACTAAAAGACAGAAGAAAAGAAAATGGAACAACGGTCACAACCTGCTTTTGCGTTAATTTATACGTGACTTAAAAGCCTTGATTTCTTCTATTTAAATATGAAAATTGTGGACTGAAAGACGCATCTACTGTTGGTAAAAGTATTTGCAATCATGCCTGTTATTATCAATAAGTCATGATTTACATTATAGACTCCCCGTAGACTTTTAGTTGCCGATAGTTGGGTGGGTCAGATTATAATTTGTATGAAGAATCAGCCGATACCAGTGTGCGCACTTTTATACATCTCCATGCTGATTAACAGCCCGACCCAACTAAAATTGGTACTAACGTGCCCGTCGAAGACTTCATAATAATAATTATCTGTCACTGGAAAAGCTTAAACCTGGATCGGATATTTTTATTTTATTATAAGGAAAACACCAGTGTCAATAGGATTTTATCTAGGTACCTACCTTCTACCTTGGCCTTGACAAGTAAATGTAGTTATTAATGATAAATCTGTTTTAAATAATAAAACCTGTCACTTTATACCTGTAGATATAAAATGCGGTAGCAGTTTTAGGCCCGATTCGACATAACTTTTATCCGAGAATAACTCCCGGTATAACTGACACATTCGACAGTTTCAGTATGGGAAATATGTCAAAACTGGCGATTTATTCTGTGATTAATATTTACTCTTATTTGGTCGAATCCACCCTTAGTAATATAATACAGGCCTCTACTAATAGTACACAAATAGAGCTTCATGATATAACGAGGTGGGAAGTTTCAATCCTACACTTATCATCAACATTTATCATTTACCAATACAGGTACCTAATATTAATTTTCGAGGTTCTTTTTTCATTGCGAAACTTTAATGTTACAAGTTGCATGCAGTAAATACTAATAACATAAGACTAATAGAGACCCAGTGCAAAAATAATTTTGATTTAGTGACTTTGATTTCAACTTAGTGGAGTGTCAATCTACTATAAGAAATATTTATTATTGTGAGTAGGTACCTAAATAAATAAAAAAATGCTATAACCAAAGACAAATTGCAAATAAAGTGGCATAGGTGGATACTACGGACGATTGTGTAAATCACATTCTGTTGTTTGCTTAAGCCAAAGTAAAAACTAAACTTAAATGAATCGATAAACAAAAGAAATTGCGAAAATATAATTTTGGCGATTTCAATTGGACATACATTGCAACGTGACATGTGATTTGAATGAGAAAGCTGGACCATTTCGGAATATCATACAAATGACGTACACACCTCACTTCCACGACTCAGCGCGGCGTTGTGAATATACCAAGACCCTAATAGAGGCGTAATTCAGATACGGCGGAATCCGCGCGATTATTGCGCAGTTCTCGGACATTTTGCATCGAACCGCAACCGCACGGTAACCGCCTCAGTGCCTCCCCAATGAAAACCTAACCTTGCCTAGCATAGAATTTTGCTGACACAATATTATACATGTGTGTATACAACCACCAAGCTAGATTTAAATAAGTCGAAGACATTGTTAATATTTTACAACGCAACCATTTTTTTACTAATTATCGTGTTAATTAAATAAATACTTAAACCTTAGCCACCAAGCAAAAGAAAAGAGAATAGTAGATAGAATATAAATATTTAAAGGATTTACTATACTTGGCCTAAGATAGCAGAATAATTTCTGTAAATAAAACTGTCATTAGACATTATTGATATTCGGATAGCATGAAAGAAAAAAAGCAATTTTGCTTTATTTACATAAACACTTGCTTTCTTGGCTCAACTGTAGATCACGCATTCTACACAGATTTAGTCAAATATGGCGTATCATTAAAGTTCAATGCAAGTTATAAAGTTAAGTCTAGTGTACCAGACTTTAGTAATAAGCGCGAATATTTCTTTTTATCGCCATATTAGACTAAAATTCATCATCCCAGTACACTCCACTGAGTTGTGATCTTTTCACATAGCATCCGAGACAGAGTTCTCTAGGACTCACCGTTTTCACAGCCGATTGTACTGCTGGGTTCGCCTGCAAATATTCACATTTTAAAGCAAAAAGAAAAATCGAGGTACTTACAGCATGCATGCAATGTGTAACTTGTAGTAGGTTTGTCACTTGTTGATATTATTTTGTCATAAGAAAAAAAGACATGTAAAATATTTCCAAAACGAGACCACAATGCCTTGCATTGTGAAAGTTATCAGATCACAGTATTAAAAAATTAACTATTTAATAAAAAAAATTTTAGGTCCTCTAACTAGGTAATCTTATATTAATTATGTGATTCCAGAATCAACACCAGTTAAGGCTTGGTATTTCGTCTAAAGTAGGTATTTCGCGCTGTCAAAATCTGCGCGCGCAATTCTTCGCCGAAAACAGCGCGTCAAAGAGCTCCCGCCACAATTTCCAGCTACACAGTATAGAAATACGCAGTTGGTTAGGTTAGGTTGACTTCCTTCCCTTCAAGCGTCACACTCACAACACTTTCTAATACAAATCATATCCAAGTGATACAAATTAAAACACCTTTCAGACTTTTTGGGAATATATTCTAGAATCGAATAAATATAAAATATAACTGCAGAAGTAAACACGGTTCAAAGTGGCCGTGGCGTCGCCCGACCTTCTGGAAGTGCTGCGCCGGCTTAAAGAATTTCAAGATTACGTCACCCGACCTTATCGGTAGGCCCTTAGGAGCTTGAGCGATTGGATTTTTTTTTTATGATAAGTTACTCTTAGTAGCGATTATTTAGAGCTTGGATAATAAATTTAATTATAGTTGTTGCAATTCACGAAGCTTTGCATGTGGTTAATAACATTAATCAGTATAGGTACGCATCAATTTTGTTCAGTCTCTTTGTTTATTAATAAATAAAAATATCATACTAAAATTGCAGAAACATATTTGTTTGTATTGTTCTGGACTATTAAAATGTAATTTTAACTCATTGGTTTTGTCTCATATTTGAGGAATGTATCATGAGTAGAGTCTTAGTTTAAAAGGATGCCAACGATTTAAATTTCAATAGGTAGACAAAATTCAGAATTCTTAATTATCAAAAATTTTAGCTTTCTCCAGTAACACTGGTATTATTATACTGTGACTCATCAAAGTCATCATTGTCAAAAATATTGACAAATCGAGAACTGTCACGGCCAAAAAACTGGCACGCGTCCGTCCTCCGTAAGCGCCACCGCGCGACTGATTGAGATTGTCCAAGCCGTCATGGGCGATTTTTTCCACATTTTTTAACATAGTAACTAAATAAGACGCAATATAAAAATTTCATCCGTTAAAAGCCCTCAAGTTATTTCTGAACTTTAGTTTAGTAAAAGATTCACAATCTCAAATCGCTTATTTTAAAAATAAAACCATAATTAGAAAACGAATAGAGGTAACTTTGGGAATTTATTCTATCGAGTCAACTTCATCAAATCGTGTTTCCATCCGTTAATAGCCCTAGAAAATATCCTCAACTATGCCCAAAAAAAATCTTAGCCTTTTATTTTACTGTTTAGTACCTCAAAAATGAAAAATGAAAACCTCATTTTCGCCATTTTCTCTGTTACCCGGCCTTAAGGTATAAACACGTTGCGGGGCGTACGATTAGTATACGAGAAAAATGAAAGGCCCATACATGCTTCGGCGTGTCTCGTTCCAACTTCGAAAGCCTCGCGAAGGCCAAGTAATTACGGCTACTGGCCTAGTGATTCACGTAACGAATTACTTCACCAAGTCGCAGATTCAATGTCGGCACAGTACAAATTATATTTTCATCTGTATTTCAAGTATTGCTTATTTAATCATTCATCAACATTGCTGTTTTAAAAGGATTAACAGTCAAGAGACCACTTCCGCACTTAATGGGAATAAACCTTTTTAAGTACGCACTTCTGTTTAAATAAATGTAAAATTTCAAAAATTAAATGACAAACCCACGTAAAAAAATGTTAGGTATAGTATAGATGACCCACGCTGAACTGTCCCGCCAAACTTAATGACAGGGGGGCGCTACCATCGTTCAACTATATGGTTTCCAACATGGCAAAAATCTGAACCAGCGATCCGGTATTGACGGTGGCGCCCCACTGTCAATGTCATCGACAGGACAGTCCAGTATTTTGGAACTATACACAGTTGTTTCAATTTAAGATCCATTTTAATACAGAGCTCGTTCGAAAGTATGAATAAACAATAGTCATAATTGCCTTAAAATCTGCACATTCAGCATTAAAGCATAAGATTTTAGCACTGCGAATATAATATACCTAGGCTAAGCATGATTTGTTTTTCTTTTTTTAAATAGGTACTATTACGCGATTTTATTTACTTCAATCATCAGATGAAATGGCTTCAGTAATTCCTGTAGACCCATATCAAGTAATGAAGTAGATCAAAAAATTTATAAACTTATTTACATTTTATCCAATCTTTTTTAGACGTAGATAATTGAAAATGTTTTTGCGCTGTAATATTTATGATGGCTTTATGAATTTATGATAACAACGAATAGCAATTTTTAATCATTATTACTGGCAACAAAATTACCGGATTGCTATAATAACTGCCACTTCTTCATGCCAGTCACTTTGTGGTACTTATCACACACACTAACACCCATATTCACAAAGGATGCTTGCTTAAGTGAAGCAGCAAATGGAACGCACAGCGTTGAATAGAGCTCTGTGATTGGTTTGTGTGTCACTTTTTGCGTCCACGCGCTCTGTGAGACCTCATAGTAATATTTGTGTTTGTATTATTTGCTAAGCATATTTTCCCGTTTCCTAATAAATACGTTTTATAGGATTCCAGTTGGCCATGTAGAATCTATACTAATATATTATAAATGCGAAAGTAACTGTCTGTCTGTCTTGCTTTCACGCCTAAACCACAGAACCGATATTAATGAAATTTGGCATAGAGATAGTTTGAGTCCCGGGAAAGGACATAGGATAGTTTTTGTCCCGGTTTTTGAAACAGGGACGCGCGCGATAATTTTTTTCTGTGACAGACAAAATTCTACGCGGGCGGAAAGCTAGTAGGTTATAAAAGCTTGAAAGTCGTGTTAGTAGCAGAAGATAGCAACGGTACACACACAGCACAAAATCATCCAACAATACGGAAAATCAACATTTTTTTTCACAATACAAGACAAGCATAATAATAATTACGACCTAGAACTAAATAATATGTATGTAAATAATCCAGGTACAGGTGATTGCGAAACTAAAAACATCGTACCAAGCCAAACAAAAAATTAAAAACACAGGAACGCACTATATTATGTTTTGTTAAATGTTTATTTGGTTTTAATTCATTTTTATTGCAAATTGCAAGTTGGTAATATTTGCAATTTAACTTTGCGCTTCATTTGGTACTTCTTAGTACCATTCATTTTATTATTTTAAAAGAAAAAAGGATAAGTTTTATAAAGCACGCCATTTCACTGAAAACATTAGCTTTCGCGTTGTGTACCTTATCCTTGACAGTCTTGAAAAAGGCGCCACCTTCTTTTTTAACTGTTTTTGCCCAATCTCTATACTGCTGTTTCAGCTTTTGGCCACTGCCTGTGTTTAGCTTGTCGGCGTAATTGTTGCACTCTACTTCGAATTCATCGTTGAAACCTCGTCCTGAATTGAGCAAATCTAGTCGTTCATCAATAAACTAAAAAAAAAGAAAAGACATAATTACAACGTTTTTAAATGTCAAAAAGTTAAAGTTGATGCTGTATGTGCCAACCTGTTGAAATATTTGCGACTGCAGTATTTTTCTAAGGAATGTCTGCATGTTTTTTCTAGTTCTCACAAAAGCCTCAGGGTTGAATGTGATCAACTGACCATTTTCAATTCTGGAAACATATAAAATATACAATTTAATTTATTTAAGGAAGAAGAAGGCAAAATATATGTAAATAATCTATATTCCAAAAAAACAAATTCTCATGACCATGAGCCACAACTTCTGCACTAGTACAGGCCCACAGGCCTGTATCCCAGTATTTATATGGATTAAGTTAAAGAGAGTTTCAGGTCAAGGGAAAAACATAAAACAGAATAGTATTTATAGAGCTAGTATCAATTAAAACTAATCCTTACTTTATAGCATCTCGATAGCCTCCTATCAAACATACTAATGCTCGCAAAAATGCTCTCGACACAGCATCTCCCAGGGCATTTTTATCACTCAAAGCTTTTTTTAAACTTGCTACCTGCAACATAATAGAATTATTAATGATTTGACTTTTAGTTCCAATATTATGTTAAGTTCAGGCTACTTACCAAATCAGGTGGAAGACTTTCTAAATCGTGAAAGGGTGTTCTGAGTTCATTGTTATCTACATCTAAAATCACAACATCTCCAATATCTGACATCCTTACTTTCTGCAATAGTAACCATAAAACTTTATTACTTATCAATAATTATTTGAAATAGTTCATAGATATAATTCACGTTACACACCTCCATAACATTTCTAGGAACTCCAATGAGGAACGGCATAGGTGCTAACAAATAATCCGCCAAATGTTTTGGCAATATTGGAATGAATATGTGTTGCCATGACATAGGAAACAGTGTTGTGTTAGCTGCCTGTACACATGCCGACAGCCGAGACGGTTTAGTAGCAACGATTGCTACCCGTCTCTCGTGAAGTAATGCAGCCCAAAGACCCGCCATACACTTTGCATCCATGGCACTAAAGTATTCCGTAAGGTTGCTCTGGAAAGTGATTTGTGATTTGATGTATAAAATATTCTTCAAATTAACAAAATATGTACTAATTAAACCATTACACAGAATACATTCATTTCAGTTTCAATGTGTCAATATTGTGATCCATTATATCATTTTATGTTAAAATACTTACATTTTCAGGAATACTTGGTAGTTTTGCGTCCGGACATTGGCAAGAAAAAACACTGTGGCCAGCATTGTATGTGACTTTCAAGGTGTGACCAGGCATGGGCGGTCTTATTCGGCATGCTTCTAAAAATGATATCAACTCTCCCTTCTCTGGCCCATTTAGAAGATTAGCTATACAAGTTAATAACCTGAAAATGTACTGTCGTAAGTAACTTCATATAATATGTAAATATTTACACACTTTATTCGCTGAGCTGAGCTTAGCAAAACTTTATAATGTAAAATACCATAAACAACAATCACTTGCTTTCAAATTCGTAAACTACATTATGACAATCACATTAGATTTAAGTATTATAACAGAATGTAAAAATAACATTTTGCTAGAGTAGATAAAAGTATTATTCGCTTAAATAGCTCTATTCAAAAAACATGCTTAATGTTTGAAATAATGTCGCTTTTGCACTAGATAATAAATATAATTTCACAATGGATATAACGGAGTAAGTCTTAAGAAAACTTCTTATTTAAATATCATAATATGTAATATAGTTACTTACTTATAAAATATATCATGCCATGGAAGATGTGATAACAGAACCAATGCTGTATTTGCTTTTGGATCATAGCGGCAAAAACAAAATGTGTATTTGGAGTCCACAGATGTCAACACAAATGAGTACTGTTGAACAAATGAACTGAAAGAAACAAAACCTTTATTTTGCCTTCAACTTACAACAGTTAATTTCTTTTTATTACTTCTTATTCACAAACTGAAACATTATTTATTTTTGTGTTCAGGTTAGTAAAAACAAGAACAAAATAAAAACCAGTGCAGTAGTTTTTTAGTCCCTAGGTAAAATACTATAAACTCTTGTCTGCATCTCTCAGTCTTGTGGTTTTAAGTGAAGAGCATATTATGCTGGTTGCAAGGAAACCAAGAGCTAAGCTAAATTAATTTAGCATAACTAGCATACCTACCTGACACTGTTTTCCATAGTTGTTTGTAAACTATTATACAAACATGGTGAAGGCCAAAAGTCACAATGACTAGAAACTGACAAGATATAATATTGTACGATCATCATCATCATACCAAAACAAATCAAATTATATGGATCTTTTATGGTTGGCCTTTCCTGGGGTTAAACCTAATACAGTAATGATAGGCACAAATCTTTACTTTTGTATCCTTTGGACTTGATTGAAATAGTTACAGCCCCAATACATACATCCTGTTTATAAATACCAGCTTCAAAGCAATTGAAAGGTTTCCAATGATATTGCAATTCTATGTTCTGGTTTTGGCTTAAGTATAATACGAACTTCTAAATACCCCTTTATCACTACTCATAAACTATCTGAGAAAGAAGTCTTGTTTTGAAGTTCTTCTTCAGTTTTGATAACACTGTTTAAATAAGGATTTGGCTCGACATTAAACATTTCTATATTGACGGGTCTAGATTTTTAACCTCCCTATGTTACTGCTTACTGTACAGATATGGATTGGATAATCATGTCAATCTTCATTCAGATTGCGCACAGGCAATTTGTGTTATGTAGTGGCTATTACAAATAGACTATATTTAATTAAGTTCTTATACCAAGTATAGAACCAAGCAGTAGGACCAAACCGATGGCATATATGCAGTTAACCTCACTTTAGGAATGAATTTGTAATAATTACTTACTTTTCTAGTTGACATGGGAATGTGAATTTAGGAATATTCTTTAACTCTTCTTCATTTTTGTATGATTCTGGGTATTTTCTAACTACATATGGCTCCTTTGAATGATCTCCTGGGGCAACTTCACAGAATAGTTCAAACAAGTAGCGTACGGTATCTCTGAAATGGGAAACAATAATGTGTTACCTATACCCTCTGAACCAAAGAGAATATAATACACTTTTATTATGCAAAAGTATTTTCAGATAGGTTTAATTGGTTGCTGCAGAATAAATCACAACAATGATAAATTATCATAGGTATAATGAGATAATGAAAATAGAAACCAAAACAGGAATGATAAGAAACTAGAAATGAAAGTTGACTTGATAAATGCAATGTAATTGGAACGTTTTAACAATAAAAAAGAAAGGTAGGTAGATAAATAGAAATAAAAAGCAAGATGGAGATGCATGAACTCTTACAACTTGAGGTGAGGTATGTTTATAATAATATTTGAGCTTGTCTGACCGCAGTACGATGAACTTTACTTTTAATCAGTCAAAAAGATCAAATATTATTAACAAATTACTTACCTTACTCTGGAACCCATGTCTCGACGTGGAATTCGGAAAATTTAGATTACATCTTTATGAACCCTACTTTGAATTTGTGTCCTACAATACACATATCACGAAATATCACAAGCCATAGAAGACTACTTTTCAGACGCAACATAGTACATTTTTCAATATTTTATGTATTTTTTGGAACCTATTACGAAAGACGGACGATTTTAGTTAGTCACCAGTCACCACCACCAACCAGCCACTTCAACAACAGGAACAAAATCAAAAAACCAAAGTGGACTGGAAATCTTCGACAGCAAAGTGACAGCTTTCTCACCAATCAGATAGAATCATGTAACCCGCTGATTGGTCACATAGTTTATAACATTGCGGTCCAACAAATATTTTTAGTTTAGAATATATTGTTGTGACTGGCTTGTTTTCTCATCGATAAATTTTCTCACCATAAAATTGTAATGAATTTCTTTCATTATAATTAAACTCAGTACTGAAAAAAAGAAACATTATGATTCTACAAAATTACTATAGTTCCAAAATGTATTACTTTTCTCTATGGTTCCAAAACACTGAACTGAGCCCCGATTACGGTAACTTATAACGTCAACAATCCAGACACGCTTCTCGATTCTGCGATACGATTGGTCAAAACAGCTGACGTAGGTACGCTGTTGAACGGAACAGAACTTTTTTGGTTTCGATGTCCACCACTGAGGGACAGAGCAACTCATTTCTTCTCAGTGTCCACCAGTAGGGCCCAACGGGAAGATTTCAGTAGCGCTGTCCCCCACTGGTGGACATTGCAACTTTTTTTCTCTATGTCCACCAGTGGTGGACAAATAGTGGGGGACATCGGGAATAAACGGTTTCTTCTCAGCACTTGCCATATGTTTGTCTCGAAGCGCTGGTAGGGCCCAAAAGATAAGGAGACATGTAAAGTGCCCCATAAGGGCTACCTTTTTCTTTTTTTATTATTTTCTATTGACGTTCATAAGTGCCACTTGTGGTCTAAACTGAATAAATATTTTTGATTTTGATTTTGATTTTTGATTTAATACATGAAAAAATGTTTTTTTTTTCAAAATTTTATTTTACCGTTTCGTCAGCGTGATTAATATACATACTTCCACAAAATTACAGCTCTCTAGTGCCAATAGTTTCCAAGCAAAACCTCGGACAGACAGACATATCGAAACTACTAGCTTTCCGCCCGCGGCTTCCCCCGCGTGGAATTTTGTCTGTCACAGAAAAACTTTATCGCGCGCGTCCCTGTTTCAAAAACCGGGATAAAAACTACCCTATGTCCTTTCTCGTGACTCAGGCTATCTCTATGCCAAATTTCATCAAAATCGGTTCAGTGGTTTAGGCGTGAAAGTACGACAGACAGAGTTACTTTCGCATTTATAATATTAGTATAGATAAGGGTTCTTTGTCAGGACTACGGAACCCTAAAAACTGACTTTTTGGGTACGCCCTATATGTATAGTACGCCTATACCCAAACTTAGGTATTACCACGTATTACTAACAGCTTAGATTAAATAAGTAAAGCACCATTTTATTAAAGGGTCTATAGGTAGCTACCATGTAAGTAGCTAAAGAAATGACATGAGCACATGTTTCAATGGTTTTTCTACCAGTTAGCAGTAGGGGTGGTACTAGGACGTCCTAGGTGATCAAATTGGACTCCAACTACTCCAAGCGACCCTTTGGTGTCCTTTGATCACCCATGGATAAGGTCACCTATGAACTTCTTAAATAAAGTCCATAGGTGATCAAAGGACACTAAAGTGACGCCTGGAGTCGAGTAATCGAAGGGTTTTTCGTTTTTGGATACAACTATTAATTATGGGTTGTTGTAAAGCGGAGGGAGCAGGAGGGTTACTAACTTATAAGAGTTTGATTGATCGAGCATATTTGATGATGAAGTAAGTGGGTATTGGAACCCTGATGGGAGTGATGGGACTGTCGAATTTAGTTTTTTTTTTGCCAAGAGGAGATTTAAGTAGTTGTTACAGCAGATGATAACGAAGATCTACTTTGAGAAATCCCATAAGAAAATCGCATGACGCGATTACTAAATACTTAACTTACGAAAGTGATGAATCTAATATAATTTTGGTGTGGTAGTTTTGAAAAAATAACTAAGAACAGTAAAATAAAATGTCCATATTTTGTCATTTATTTCCACATAATTATACAAAAACCCATCTTATATTTCAAAATATCTTCTTATCTATATTATGTATTATTGCCCCTTGTTTGGTACTAGCACCAATATACCAATAATTACGTATACAAATGCAAAATTTGAGCATACAAACTTACGATATAAATATCGCTACATAAAGTATAATTAATTATGCATTAACAATTTAATCTTAAGTAAAGATAGGAACTTCAAAATATTTTATTATCATTAGGTACTTTGGACGTATAGTAGTAAATTATCATGTTTTAATTTTGTGTATAATTTGATTCAATAATTTAATACCTCAATTTATAGGTACATGCTTATAAAACGAAGGATCGAATTAATCTATAATATACAAATGAATCACGAAACGTGTTGTTACTTAAGCGCATGACTCAACAACGCCTGGACCAATTTTACCAATTCTTTTATGTTCGCTGAAGTCCAAGGATGGTTTTTACGGCGAGAAAAATTCCAATAATTTCCGAGAAAACCCCGGACGAAGCAATACTATCGTGCAGTATTTTTCGTACCTAAGTGGACTGCAAAAACTAATATTATTACTGCCATTTTAAAACTTTGTGCTAGTGAACATCAAGACCTTTATTTGGTCATGAAACATTATTGATTGACTGTTTACAGCGAACATTCATAATATAAACAGAACTAAACGAATTGGATCTTGCTATTTTTCGAGACAGTTTAAAAATCGCTAATATTAGTTTTTTATATTATTTATTTCAACGATGTATCAAACATGATTTTGTCAATCACATTCAATCATAACTCTAAAATATAGCATGTACTTTTAAGCACGTTTTAATAGGTATTGAATACCTATAGATAGATATATCTACCTATTTTTTTATTATTAATTGATTTTGAGCTGCTTTATAAATAATAAAACGCTTATAAAATAAATAACTAAAGTATCACAACAAAGATTATGATAGATGGATGATAATGTAAAAATATGTAGGTAAATTAAAACAGATGCAATACAACAGCATACACAAATGAATTAAAGAACTTCGTTGTAAACAAGTTATTAAAATTAGGAAAGCAAAACAAGCCACAGATGGAATACGTCGCCAAATGGTTATCTATTTTGTGACATGTCTTCTAGTATATGAATCATGTCATTCGGTTGTTCATATCTTATCACTGAAGTATAACCTGCGAACAACAAAAAATAAAGCTAAATTAAAACAAACGAATAACTAAGTTACATACGTAGTTATTAGTGATGACGCTTCAATGAATAAAGAATATAAAATGATCATTTGTTTATCTGTAGATGGCGCAGGTGAACCAGTTAAAACTACATATTATTACATTAGGGTAATATGTGCAGTGATAAATTAAACACTGATATTATTGAAAAAGATATATTTTGTCATACAAGTTTTAACTACAAATGATAATACTGGGTATAAAAGGAACTAAATAGCACAACTTCCCTAGGATAAAAATAGGTTAATTATAATAAAATAAGATTGTCTCATTAATTCGTTAAAACGGATGTTTTTTGACAATCTTCCAAATAAAAATACTCAATATAAATAAAACTATTGTTATAATATGCATAATGCGTTAATATTACAAAACAATTATCACCTTCAAGGCAGAGCCATATCAATATCCTACCTAAATGTTCCTTTATCACAATAATACATAATGTTACTTTTAATAATAAAAATATGTATTATTTTCATAAAAAGAGTATATGCATAAATATTTCGAAACTGATCATGGCAACTTTTAAATAAAATATACCAATTTGGAACATATAAAAAAAAACTAAAAACAAGCCTTTAGAAGGCGAAATAGTAAGACTAATTTGTACAGATCACAGTTGAAATAATCTCCATCAGATTACGGTAAAAAAATTCGAACATGGTTTCGTCAATTAAGGACTAATTTGGCATAGTTATTTTCATTCAACTTATTCTTTTAATCTTTTCTAATAAGCAAAACATTCGAGACCAGAGAATAATATTTCTTTTACTAAATTATTGCTCTACACATTCACTTGAAAAATTTATAAAATTTTATTATTATTATAAGTATAAAATATTACAAGAACTCTTAAATATTCGCAGATAGATATTTTTCAGCACATGAATTAATAAAGAACACTATAGGACACAACACCAGACTATCGTTTGGTGTTATAAATACAGGGTATAATAGGATTTTCGAACTATCAGTCCGATTGATTAAAGGTAGTTGATGTGTCATTTTAATAATACTAAAAATAAATGTAAAAATTCATACAATAAAGTGGAATGTTTTAAGTATTTGAGTATTCTAATTAGAGATGAAACGGATAGTTGTTTGGCCGGATACCGGATACCGGATATCCGGCGAGCTGCTAGGCCGGATAGCCGGATATCCGGCGGCCGGATAGTTGTCCCATTGTCATGTTGCATGTCGTAACGAGTTTAGCGCCGCACAGGTGCTTCGATCAGTGGGTCTAGTAGACTAGACAAGTCACACTTTTCGAAAATCAAATTCGTTCGAATAGAATGTCAGATTTTGCCACTCGTCTAAGGGGCAGATCAATTCGGGCGATTTCGGTTGCCATCGTGAGTACCTATGTTATTGAATAGCGAAAATTAAATTAGTTTACTTGGGGGGCGTCCATTAATTACGTGAGACAATTTTGGCTATTTTTTAACCCCTCCGCCCCCCTTGGTGAGATACTCACGTGAGATTTTCCAAAATGCATATTTGCAATGTAAATCAGATAATCCATGCTTCGAAAATATTAGATTTTATAAAAAAAACCCGACCTACGTAAAAAAGTTAACTGATTAATGAAATAATGATAAAACTAAACAATTTAGGCCCAGTTTTTTTTAACTTTTAGTACAATTTTTAACTATTAGTTTACATTTTGTTAATATTTAAGCATTGGTAGCAAACTGCGGATCTAAAAACTGGGCCTTTGTTCACAAATGCAGACGGATGATTTACTCAATACTCAATTCTTTATTTACTCAATTCTCAATTATTTGTTGTGGAAAAAAATTACGTGATATTTCTCGACACCCTCTCCCCCAGGCCACGTGAGATTAAGTGAGGTTTTTCTGGACCCCCCCCCCCCTAAAAGTCTCACGTAATTAATAGACGCCCCCTTGGTGCGTAATCTGACTGAACTGCATTATACAGGGTGACTTTGAATTGGTTGGCATTCTTTTTAAAATAAGGCTTTACTCATGATTCCCGAAATATGAGTCATATCAAATGAATTTTCAATATTTGAAATCTTGTACAGACGACAGCACATCAATCTTCATACTGTGGCATCTTATTTCAATGTATTAAGTGTTATTTTGCAACAAAATGTATAGGATGATGTGCTGTTGATTGTACAATAGTTTTTAACTCTTTTTAAGAGCAGAATAATTGTACCAAGTTTCGTTAAAATCCGTCCAGTAGTTTTTGTTTCTATAAGGAACATACAGACAGACAGACAGACAGACAGACAGACAGACAGACAGACAAAAATTTTACTGATTGCATTTTTGGCATCAGTATCGATCACTAATCACCCCCTGATAGTTATTTTGAAAATATATTTCATGTACAGAATTGACCTCTCTACAGATTTATTATAAGTATAGATTTATGTATTCGTCATTAGAGTGAATAGCCCAGATAGGAAATTAGTTTTTTGAAAGGCCTTAATATGGCTTTTTTGTAACTTTTTGGACTTTAGATAAAAACCGTCATTATTATTAAGCCATTTTATTGATATTTAACTCAAAGATTAATGTGTTTCATTTTATAACAGGAAATTTTCGTAGTTTTTTAATATCCGGTATCCGGCCGGATAGTGAGCTACTATCCGGTATCCGGCCGGATAGTAAATTTAGGCCGGATATCCGGCCTACCGGATAGTTGCCGGATATCCGTTTCATCTCTAATTCTAATAGTTATTAACTAAACAACTTAGTACTGGTAGGCAGGATTCTGATAAATGCATAAATATTTTGTTCAACAAATGTTCACGGTAATTAAAAAATACACAGCCATAAAAATATTCTTGGGCATTATACACCGCGCCATCCAAAAAAAAATCGAACATTTTGTTTATCAGTATTTAAAATACTTACGTATACTTAGGAATTAGAACTTAAACTTAATATAATTATTATAACATATACATTTTAACATCCTATTTCTAATCAAACACAGAGAGGGCGCGATTTGTAAATAAGTTTTATAAAACATGAATATGCCCAATATTTTTTTCTTAAATTTTATTTAGTCAGACAGATAATAAAAAAATTTTGGACACGTATTAATTTTTTTCATAGTCGAATAATTACAGTATTATATTGAGTTGAAAAATTGTGACGTCACTTCTAGGTAAAAATTCTTCCTAGGCCAGCTCGCCATTTCAACTCGATGTAGAACAGTTATTATTTAATTAAGAAAGAAAAGAAAAAAAACATGTCCAATATTTTCTTATTTATTTGTCTGTCTGACGGACAAATAATTGAAATTTTGTCCACTAGCCTATTAAGACCGGTTAAGCGTGTATAAATGTTTGTTCAGCAAAGATAAAGGAAAGGAATCATTTAGTATTTAGCGTGAAATTGCATATTATTTAATAGTAGTGTCGATGTCATAAAAACAATAATACATTCTAATTATTTGACAACATATTTCAGCCCTGTTATAAAAATTTAAGTGTATTTTACAGGGTACTTTATTCAGTGAAATAAAAGTTTAAGTTTAATACCGATTAAACTAAAAATAAAAAAAACAAATGATATAAATATAATTATGTCAGTTTCAGCTTTTACAATTAATACCGAAGCTTTTTTAGAATACAGGNCGGGTACGGGTGAGATGCAGGACGAGCATTATCTTATGGGTAATGTATGATATCTATGGCATGTCATTTTCTACTTATTTATTTTTCCCTCTCTCGTTTGACAACAAATAAGAGCCAAAGCACATGATGCGTTGCGGCGCCGCATCGCAAAGATTTCAGCGTATCGCGCAGCACAGCGCCGCATCCTTCGTGTGCCCCCACAGATATTATTGGCGTCGCACCGGCACCGTAACGCACCTGTGCTTTGGCTCTGATGAAAGCGACTTTAGAAACTTAACGGATTAAACTAAACCATAACCATTATAACTAAGTGTATTTACGGTATATTCCATGTAATTAAGCAAAGCGTGAGAGTGCGGTTTTTAAAATCATTTACTTTCATGCCAGAGTAAAACAGCCGACGACAAATTAGTTCTATTTTTATGGCATTTATTGTCAAAAATTTTAAGTAAAATACTCGCGTGCGGGTAAGTCAAAGTATTTAGGATAAAGTATCAGGACCAAAGTTGGCATAAAAATACTAAGTAAGTACGAGGGCTGCACTAAAAGTATCGGGAATTTAATATTTCCACTGTTCCTATCATATTAAAATATATTTAATTGCAAACTCCTTGGTTTTAAACATCGAATACCATTTATTTATTTAAAAAAAGATTCTCGGTCTTATCACAAGGTCTTGTGAAACTTGTTTAGTCGTTGAGAAAATCGAATTGACTCGAGAAAATTGAAGAGCGATGATTTATTATGACTTTCGGAGTGGTTTAACACAAAAACAGTGTGTTGACCGGATGATTTCTGTATTTGGTAATAAAGCCCCATCCAAAACCACAATTTATCGCTGGTTTGCTGAATTTCAACGTGGACGTGTCAAGCTCAGTGATGATCCCCGTCAAGGTCGTCCAAAAACTGCAGTCACCCAAGAAAACGTTGATGCTGTGCGTAAGCTGATTGAAGAAGATCGACATGTGACATACCGCGAAATTCAGGCAACTTTAGACATTGGCATGAGTCAAATACAAATAATCTTGCATGAACAATTAGGTGTAAAAAAGTTGTTTTCCCGATGGATACCGCATTCGCTCTGTGAAGAGCAAAAAGCGGCTCGCGTTACTTGGTGCGTCAGAACTCTCGAAAGATTACACGCAGGATCCTCAAATGCTGTATACAACATCGTATCAGGTGACGAATCCTGGATATGTGCGTACGAACCCGAAACAAAAAACCAGTCACGAGTTTGGGTGTTCGAAAATGAGTTAAAGCCAACAAAAATTGTTCGTTCACGGAGTGTTGCAAAAAAAATGGTGGCCACGTTTGTCTCAAAGACCGGCCATGTGGCGATTATTCCTCTTGGGGGACAAAGAACGGTTAATGCAGAATGGTATGCTAGCATTTGTTTACCACAAGTCGTTTCTGAACTCCGTAAAGAGAACTGCAACCACAGCATCATCCTCCATCACGACAATGCGAGTTCTCACACCGCGCACAGAACAAAAGAGTTTTTAGAGCAAGAAAACATAGAATTATTAGACCATCCGCCGTACAGCCCCGACCTAAGCCCTAATGATTTCTATACTTTCCCTAAAATAAAGAATAAATTGCGTGGTCAGAGATTTTCATCACCTGAAGAAGCTGTGGACGGCTACAAAACGGCCATTTTGGAGACCCAAACTTCCGAATGGAATGGTTGCTTAATGATTGGTTTCGTGTATGGAAAAATGTGTCAAATTACGCGGAGAATACTTTAAAAAGCAATAAATACATTTTTAAATAGTAATGTTGTTTCACTTCCTTGATTCCCGAAATTTTCAGTGCCGCCCTCGTAAGTACTAGTTATTTTACTTTTATTATTTTATATTTTTTACATTGATCGGCCCTGAGACTTGTTTGAGCATATTTAGCTATTTATTACGCTGTGGATTAGGCTAACCACTTATAAAGTTCACCCTGTATAAGACATTAATTTAGATATACAGGGTGTTTGCGGAAAGTTAGACAACATTTGACCATAAGTGAGCTACTTTTTTTTAATTGATTTTAATTTTTTCCGAAATTTGACCGAAGAACTGCTTCATTTTTTTTCTCGCTTGTGGATAATTTTTGTACTATTATTCCATTTTTTTCCATAAACTTTGAATTTTTGAAGAATTTCAATATCTTATTACTACATGTGATATATCATTGGAAAGAAGAGAAGCTAGATACGTTTTTAAGATCATTGGCAATCCATAATTTCTTTTTAATCGAATCGTAAGTTGAATTTTTTATCGTGGTTTCACTTTTGTTAAACTTTGGCGGCTCGTAACTAGCTATCCAATAATTATCTGGTTCTGAAATGTATTTTATTGACTAAAGACATAATATATTCGACATTAATATCAAATAAAAAATCGGCTGAAATTTCGGAAAAAAATAGGAACAAAAATATCAATTTAAAAAAAAGAAGCTCACTTAGGGTCAAATGGGTGAACTTGTATTCTTAAAATGACCTTACATAATATACACCCACGAAGTTTGTCTAACCTTCCGCCAAACACCCTGTATTGTTCGTGAAAATACAATTCTACTTTTTTTTCTTGGATATTATCACTAGTACATTTTCAATCATGAAACTATAAATCAACAAACCATTTGTCTCGAAACTGTGCATTTTCCCTTTCCCTTAAAATATGTACTTGTACCAAATATTTTTTAGTAATTCCCTTTAGGGTGGATCTAGACAGCTGGTATCATTGCCGTGAAAACGGAACATTGCTTGCACCTGTTACACAGGAAAATTATTTGATCGTCTCAACTTTCGCTGTGCGACAATAATTAAATGATGACAAAAAGATCTTTAGCCGTTAACTATCTTCGAAAGACATGTTTTGATCGTATAATTAATCCAATTAATAATAAAATGATTTTTCTGTTGTAGCAATAGGTAATAAATACTTAGCAATAGATGAAAGCAAGTAATCCGTTGTCATGAAAATGTCAGCTCAGCAGCAGCGTTTTGTTTTGATAGAAAACAATGTTCAGTATAAGATTAAATATTTCTTGAAACGGGGTCTAAATAAGAAAAACAATTTAAAAACTATTTGGTACAGGAACGTGATTGTAGGTATAGCCTGACCAGGAACATAAAACCCCTCGCCATGTTGCGGAAAACTAATGGTACTAATTTCTTTTAATGGCAACAGTAACTGAAAACTTCATTGACATGTCACCTTGCATGTCAGTCTATTGCTGTCAAAGTGTAAACAAACTTTATTTTAAATGTGCGCAATTGATTTTGTGAATTAAATTGCTAAAATCTTTTTATAGTCGTGAAAGAAAAGTGGTTCACAATGTGTTAAAGTATTTGTCAACGAGAAATACTAAGGGTTCGGACAATATTTTCATTGAATAATGTTTCCGACAAAGGTTGTCAAATTGACTGACATGTTTATCGTATAGTACAGTACACTATGAAAATTTGCTGTGGTTTGTTTTAACTACCTATTTTAAAATTTTTTGGCACTTTCTAAATGTTGAATTTTATGGAATTGGGAAAGAAGTACCGAGTTTGAAGCGTTCATTGCAGTTGAATATTTGAGTTCTGAATTTGATTATTGATGAATAATAAAATAAATCCTACTAGCTCGATTGATGGTTTCATTTAATTTATTTAAACCAGGTTACCTATAATAATATTTTTTCGTTAATTTATGAAAATATCAAATTAGCCCGTAATCCTGAATCCTGATACATAAAGTTAGCCTATTAATTTAACACAGGTACGACTGTACTCAGTGTTGCACTATCAAATGCAATTGACGCGCCTCTATGCCAGGGTTTTTATGTTCCTGGTCAGGCTATAATTAATGAATTATTCATCAGCAATGTTGTCTTTACCTTGTCTGAATCCCACGTGTCCAGGTCTGTGACGCATAACATATTGAACCGCCATATGGATGACACCGAACACCAGAGAGCTGATGCCGAACCACTGGAATGTGTTCTTTCCCCCGTAAGTCTCGTATAAACGACCCCCGATAAAGCTGCCGAGTGACGTCCCTACGCCTTCAAACACAGCCCCAACTAGACCCTGAAATAAAACGGAACCATATTATAAAAGGATAGATAATTTGTTATTGGTAGGTACACTTGCAATGTGTAGACGACGGAACATCAAGCTAAGGCCACGACGAACGTCGTCGTATCACCAGCGCCTGCGCAGCGTAAATGCGGCGCACCAGCCTAAAGAGTTAAGGCTCTTTCAAATTAAACGTTTTGAGATGGACGGTTGTCGTCAGTTTGTGGTCCGTTATTTCATCCACACTTATGTTAACGTCCTATGGCTTTCTCGCTCGCATACGCACTCGTTTCGTTACGATCCTTATTATTTGGAGACCATACATTACTCGGTTTACTCCTTTAGGTTACAAAAAATACCTATGTTTAAGAATCGTCAATGTACGACGTTGTCCTCAAATCTGTCATAACGAAGCGGGAAACACGTTATTTTTTGTGTCAATCAAACATCTACCTTATGTTGTTTGCTTAAGAGTGAATTCAGTTTAGCTTTAGAGCGTTGTGGAAACAATCGTGTTGAATAACGAAGAGATTCTAACGCAGTATGACGTTAGAAAAAAACTAGTTTAGGCGTTTCTGGATAACGAGTGATCACTGGTTAGGCTAATCACACGTTTAATAATACTATTAAACACACTCAACACTATTGTAAGCAAAATTAATTTGAACTTTAATGTATCGCGATTGCTTTCAAAATTAGGCTAAGAACTCACGGCGCTGGTAAAAATCGCGCCAATCAAGTCACTGGTACAAAATGGTCGCTCGCCGATCGATCGCAGAGCGCGCGGGCGAAAACCGCCGAGGCTGCGGTTACCGCAGCTCGCGCGATTCTACTAGATGCCCGCCGCCGGTGCCGCGGGACCCAAATACAACCGTGTCGTGAGTTGTGCATTATTTTTTACCCGCATCCGACGTGGGCGCGGGTGAAAATCGCGCCGTGAGTTCTTAGCCTCATACTTAAAATTATTTTATGATGTGTAAGTGACAAAGTAATTAAGTATTTAGTTTGCATGTATTGTACCATGCACCATACCTGTACTGTAGTTTCTGTTCCAGGTGGAGACACGACGTTGGCGTATGACGTCATAGTGGGATAAAACATGCCGAAAGTTATCCCTTGGAATAACTCAATTGGTAGAACCCACCATGCGTTTGTCAGGAACGAGTACAAGATGAACCGTATTCCAAACGCAAATAGGACTAAAGTCATCATGTTAACATGCCCCAATTTTCTCAATATGTATCCTATAAACAAAAAATGCACGATTTGAACTGTCCAATTTCACCAATAAACAAGTTTAGCGAACATAATATAGTTGTCAAAAACTGAACCACGGAACCGTCTCAGCTATGTGATTGAGAGGAGGGCGCTACTATTAATTCTGGATTCTGGTTTTTGTCACTTGATGTTTTAAAATCGTTTGACTATAGCTTCAGAGATGTAATTTTCATGACAACAGATTTTTGTGTAGCCATCACAAAACATTTAATAATTAAGTCGTTTTCGGGGAAGCGGGACAGATTCAGAGTTTTACGTTCAATCGTTTATTACTAAACCGTTTTATTAGCTTGTATGGATGTATGAACCAACAATATTATTAAGTCATGCCAATCCAATGACTATGGTAAAAATGACAAACATTACCTGATATAAAAAGGAAGGGAATTTCGCCCCCGAATGTTTGGATAGCACTAACAAGGCCCTGCAGCGTTTTGATGTACGCTGATCCGTCAGATGTCATGGCTGCCAAGTCTTCTAGATACCAGAATAAGAACTGCCATAGCAACCCTGTACACAATCCCACGGCGATGGTCCACAGCATAAACACAACGGTGTGGACCGAAGACAGCAGAGTGCCGACGTCTGCTAGTATATTCATAGACATTTTTGTAGATTCGACCTGTAAATAAAAAAAACATAATAGTCCAGTCATTTAAGCTTAAATTAGGTAAGAATCTCGGAATTAGAGATACCCAGCTGTAAGTCTGTAAATACTTGTATATTGACACCCTAAAAGTTGTCTCAAAACCTACATATGGTAGGGTGTAAGCAACTATTAAATTTTAAGGTCAAAGGTCACAAAAATCGGTTTTTTGCGCTTTTTTTGGAAATATCTCATTTCCTATGGGTTTTTTGCTATTTGTATTTATTATCAATATTGTAGAATACTAAATTCTCTACAAATTTTGTTTAAAAAATTTTTTTATACGGTGAACCGTTTTTTGGTACAATTATTCTTCATACACCTGGGCAGGTTATAGTATACTTAGGAATTCCCACGGGAACAGGAATTAGCGGGAAAATCCTTTTGTATGAAAAATCTAAACGCTTAACGGAAGTTAGACGCTTGAAATTTGGCATGTAGGTACCTTAGTAAACTCAAAGCTTAGTTACAACAAGGAATTCCCGAAATTCCCACAGGAATTAGCGGGAAAATCCTTTTGTATGAAAAATCTAAACCGCTTAAGTAGACCTGAAGTGATGCAGTGACCGCGCGCTCTCCGCCCTCTATCTCGAAAACGGTTCACCGTATAAAAAAAGTTTTTAAACAAAATTTGTAGAGAATTTAGTATTCTACAATATTGATAATAAATACAAATAGCAAAAAACCCACAGGAAATGAGATATTTCTAAAAAAAGCGCAAAAAACCGATTTTTGTGACCGTTGACCTTGAAATTTAATAGTTGCTTACACCCTACCATATGTAGGTTTTGTGACAACTTTTAGGGTGTCAATATACACGTATTTACAGACTTACAGCTGGGTATCTCGAATTCCGAGGTGAACTTACTATAATGACTGGACTATAAGTCGAATTAGGTTTTAACAATTATCTTTATCAGGACATTTAAGATGGATTTCACTATTCAAATTCATAAACGAATTTAGCTGAACGCAGTTATAGCGTATTGGACAAACAAAACGAGGGATTTGCGTTAGGAATGTGAGATACCTAAAAATCCAGTATTGATCGCAGGCGCCCTCCTACCAATGTCATAGGTAGAGATAAACTACACTGAAATGTCCCACCGACGACATTGACAGAAGGGCGCCACCATCTTCGTTCAACTACATTGTTTCCACACACCGTGGCAAAAGTCGGAACCAGCGATCCGCTATTGATGGTGGCCCCTTTGTCAATGTCAAAAAAAGGACATTTTAGTGTAGAGATAAACTACACTGAAATGTCCCACCGACGACATTGACAGAAGGGCGCCACCATCTTCGTTCAACTACATGGTTTCCGCCGTGGCAAAAGTCGGAACCACCGATCCGCTATTGATGGTGTCAAAAAAAGGACATTTCAGTGTAGTTCATCTATAGTTCATCTTAGGACGGTTTAGTGTTGGACAACTATAACTTATTTACATGTCATACAGACCTTCAAAAAATAGGACACGATGACATCCCCAGTCATAAACACGAACATGAGTATGAATGCGACCGTGTAGTCCTTGTAGGCTCCGTCGCTGAATACATCTATGAGAGCTCCGGTCATCAAGGAGAATATTCCCCATCCGACGGAACCCCATAATCTCTGTTTGCCATAGTGAGAAATTTTGTCACCTGAAAAAATAATAAGTAACATGGTCAAAGATAGGTATTTGTATATTAGCTACGCTAGCTTGTTTTATTGTTAAAATTGAAAATTGTGTTTTATTGTAGTTAAAAAACTAACACTTTTTTTTATGTGACAGGAGGCAAACGAGCAGACGGATCACCTGATTGTAAGTGATTACCGTCGCCCATAGACACCCGCAGACCCAGGGGCGATACAAGTGCGTTGCCGGCCTTTAAGGAAGATACGCTCTCCTCTTGAAAGCTTGCAGGTCGTATGCGTCCGGAAACACCGCAGACGACAGTCCATTCCACAGTTTGGTTGTACGGGGCAGGAAGTGGAACTTATAAAGCTTCTTTAAGTACGTATGACGTCATGCTTAGCAAACTCCACGTGGTAACTGGTAATAACGTCAAAAATAACTTGTTCTCATAATACAATGACAATTAATTAGAATTCGTAACGTAGAAACGTACCTACTATACCTGTGCTTATACGGTAAACAATACTTACCTAGCAGATTGAAGCATATAGCATCTGCGAAAGTGACCACAACCGCTTGGCCGATCCAACTTATTATCATAAGCATAAAAAATAGCCAAAACTGCTTCGTATATTTAGTACCCTGGTTATTTTCGCTCTCATTCGCAGCTGCAAATATTTCATTCAACTGAAATCATAGTAATTAATTAGCGACATTAACTTATAAATTATGATAACTGAACTACCCAAATTTTCTGAATACACGTGGGGATTTAGTTAATATTATGATTCTACTTTAAACTCGCACTAGCTCGATCTTAAAAGGAACATCCTTTATGTACCATCGATAACAGTGTTAACTATCCATTGCCTATCATGTCGTCTCGTTCTATCGCAAACAATCACCATTTGATGAGAGCAAGAGCAAAAACGGAAATGGATAGTTAACAGTGTGGCCGTGTGTACAGACGACAGCGCATCAGACTGTATAATCAGATTTACTGAAAACTCACCTCGGTATTATCACAGGTTATGTCGCATGACGTATGAAACAATTCTCCAGGCATACAGTTAGGATAGTGAGTCGACTCTGCAAACAAAAAGAAATAGATGATACGGTTGCCTGGTGCGCAGTTAACTCGATCAGCTTGTAAAGCTAAAGCTGTTGTATGTAAATTAAGTACGAGTATATCTATCTACTCACCATCTGGTAATTGAATATGATTAAGTTGCGCGTATACGCAGTTAGCTTCAGGTATTGTAGTGTTCAATAGAATTGTTCCTGTAAAGCTTAAATTCGATGGGAAATCTTGTCCTATCATCGTTTTTGGTTGGCAAGAAGCCGCAACGTCTGCGCCCCAGCCTTCGCATATCTCCATTAAACGCCATGGCGCCGTTTCATCCAGATCACATGACGCCTAAAAACAAACAATAAATTATGTAAATCATATAAACATAATTCTAACTTAAGCAATTTATTACCAATTAAAAATACATACAGAACATGCATCAAAATGGGTTTCATTGACAAAATCTTGCAGGTCTGTGTTATTTAAACAAACTTTATAGTTTAACATTTTATCTACACATGTCATAATAGGTTTTTCTTTGCCTATTTTGGCTGCTAGTTTCTGGTTTGTACAGTCCAGAGTACATGGTTCATTTATGTCTACAAATCCATTACCAATGCGACAATGGGGTACAAAATTAAGTCCTGAAATTATAACAAGTTTCAGTTAAGCAACGTCTTTGCAAATCATACAATAGTAATAAACAAAATATACAGTTGATTTACCATCTAAAGTTACATTGCTAGTTGCTACATAAGTACAATTATCATTTGCATTAACTGTAACTTTGCTAATAGAAGAGGTGTACTTTATGTTGTTTGTATTACTGTAACAGTACTGTGGTATGTGCCAATGTTCACACACTGTTTGCCACGTTTTTGGCGAAGACATGTCACAATTCATCTGAAAAAGAAACGGAAATGTAACTTATCATTATGTATGCATACATATTTATACTATTTAGAAATATCATTTAATTTGGAAATACACTTATTGTATTTTCATAAATTATCTTATAACCCGGCTGCACCAGGAGGGCTTTTTTTTTCATTTACAAAGTATAGGGAACAATGGGATTAGGATATTGAGTCCAGAAGCAGAATGTGTGAAAATTATCAATCCACAAGTGCAAATAGAGTAAAACAATGTTTTTAAATTGTGAATTAATTAATGGAATATTATAGAATATTTCGCTTTTGTATTGATAAGTACTGTGTGCAATAAAGTTAATAAATAAATATTATCTGGAAAAGAGATCCAATTGCCTAACATTGATGAGGGTTGCATGATTTATTAAATAAAAATTACGGATTTAAATGGAATTCGAAAATGGAATTAATGAAAGGGTGGGAGTTTATATTAATCAACTGTAATGTTCGAAAACAATGTTAATAATATTAGGTGTTAATGTATGAAATTGTTGTTTTGTCTGGAGAATCTGAAAAATAAAATGTTCCATACAAACATAATTGCGATTTTTTAGATAACCACATCATTTATTTTTCTATTCTATGCAAATAAAATGTTTTCCATAAGAAAAACTAAAGAAATGATTGCAAAACCTAATAAAAAAAATCTAATTAATTACCTATTTAAAAAATTTGATTTTTTTGATTAAAATAAAAAAATAATGATTTTTTTCCACCCTGCTTTAGCCAGATGGATGGCAACGCTAACACTTATTCGCCTTGTTCCTTACTTACTTGGCATGTAGCGAGCTTGCTTTGAGATGCTATAGAGTTAATCTTGCCCTCGTCTGATTCCAATGATGCTACTGTATCATAACAGCTTTTCAATACTGTAACATGGTCTCCGCAGTCCAATTTCACAGTCACATTTGATCTGCTCTCTGGTATCGCATAAATTGCCGAAAAACTTACAATAGTAACTATCTGGAATAGTATAAAAATTGACTTTTGTTTCTTGAACCTAAAACAAAGATATTTATTTTATTGACAGGGTAATCATTTATTAACTTCAATTGCAGTAATAAAAAATTTATACACTGATATGAGAAGTACCCAATAAAAGTTTATGATGTTGATGATCATAGCAAGGTCAACCATATAATTAATGAGAAATGCAGATACCATTGAAAATATCAAATACTTAATATAGAATTTTGATTAAAAAAATGTCTTTATGTTAAGCCAATGGGCTTATTAATGAATAATTATTGAAAACACATTTTAGTAGTTTACCAGCTATATTGTGGTTAAGCATGTTTCAAGAGAATCTAAACAATAGCTCAGTGAATATAGGTATTATTTTTGGACAAAATATCATTATGTATTGAGACTGAAATATTGTTACAACCAAAAGTTCTTACCTGTCTGCTATCACACCAAAAAGAGGTTTTGCTATCAATCCAAAAATTGGAAGTACTGTGTAAATGAGTCCCACTGTAGCCGAAGAAAAACCCAGTTGGCGAGCATATGTGCTCAAGTAGGGCACTAATGGTGCGGTACCTATAAAGACAGTAATATAACAAATAATACTTTTATTTGGTGAAAATAAGTTTGTAGAGATTCAAATAATTACCTGCATTAAAAAAGAAGTAATGCCCTTTGATTGGCAACAGTTTCTTGTTTATTTTCATTTTTAGGTTGATCATTTAGGTATGCGCTTGAAAAAAGAAATCATTATTATTGTCAGAATTATACACTTTACCACTTATTTGTGTAATGTATTTTATGAATTCAATTCGCAGTAGTTTCTAGTAATGAAATAACTTCAATAAGGGCCCCAAATCATGAATAGCAACAGTGTGTTCACATCAATTAAGGTTATCTGCATTCAAATGGCTAATGATAAAACGAGATAGTGTTAAGTCAGGTTTCACATTGGCGAAATATTGAATACACAGCAGGCTGACCTATTGATCAATCTGATAATATTAAATGTTTTCTACTGTGCGAGTCATTAAAAAATGCTTTTTCCAGAGATTTGGAGAGGAAAACAATCAATAACTCACATGGTGGAAGGCATTTAATAATCCAACTCTGTGGCTTTCACCATATTTTGGAAATTAAACTTACTTCTTCTTCTTGTTTTTTTCCTTTAATACAAAAGAAACTATTGTAAGTTGTACAAATGGGTATTTAAAAGGCATTAATAGGGTTATAAAGAAACAGGTTTGAGGAAAATTAGTAACAAAAAGTTTGATTAATACCATGACAAATGAATTAAGTTGGTACTGCCACTGTTAGTTTACACTAGTTTAAAGTTTATCAAGTTTACTCATTTATTTTATAGTTATCACGATGATTGTTTCAATGTGGTTATTATTAAGTTATCCAACTAATTTAAACTTATGCTTAGTTAATTAACATGGTTATGTTAGAGCAGCATTAAGTAAGATACCTACATGAGACGTAACACTGAAAGGAAATACCTCTTTTATTGGATCACTAACGAATGCGCCGATAGTGCAAAATTTTCCAGTTGAAAATTACTTAGTTTTAAAACTAATAATCCATTTCAACTAAATTAATGAACCAATGAATACACACAGAACTGAGCACAGATAAAAGCACCCATGTCACTGATGTTGTCAGTGTTGTCACTCGTGTGTGACAGTTCCGGTGTGACCCGATTCAAATCCAAAGTAATTCAATTTTATAATTCAATTTAGTGTTCAATTGCAAATTTATCTAATTTATATCTTAACTTAGGCGTGGTATTTTGTTACTAATTACTTTTTTCAAATTTTCAGGTAAGTTTGTAAGAGTCTACCATGTGGTACAAAGTGCAATGCTTATAATAATATAACAATCCAACATAAATTCGATTATTAGTATGATATTCATTACATTCATATTTTGATTCTCTCAGAAACTCGTGTTCAAAACTGCTGCTCTTAAAATCACACTAATGCTATAAAGGCGACAGTTTGTGAGGTGTATATTTGTTACTCTCTCTTTACTCTCGTCTAAACGGCTGGAGCGATATTAATAAAAGGTATGGAGTTTTTTTTCGAACGCAACCAAGAAGCTGGTGGCCATAATGTTCGTCTTGGTGAGACTTTTCAAATGACACTACAAGCATAACTACTGGAGCGAGGTACTGATCCGCACATTCTCCTTTGGAATAGACGATTAAATAATAAATAAAAAAATATTTTCGGATAATATCACACAGCGTTATCTAGCCTCAAAGTTAGCAATTAATATGATTGTGTTATGGGTGCTAGCTTAACGGATATACTATACATATATTAGATACTTTTTAAATACATACTTAATATACATAGTAACACCCAGACCCGTCACAGAAATTAAAATTCATCATTTCAATTTCTGCCCGGCTCGGAATCGAACCCGGGACCTCTCGGCATAGCAGTCCGTTTTAGAACCACTACACCAAAAGACCGACGTAATGCGACGACTACCTAGTAATACTTCAATACAATAGTTATTTTATAAGGTTTAATCGATTGAATGAAATCAAATTGAATGATTTAATTGATTGGGTAGACCATCCCTAGTACTGTAAATATGGCAACACTATTTTGACAAATTTAAATGTCATTGTCATGTGATGTCATTTATACCAAAGGAAGGTGTGTGAGCGGGAAATTAAAACGTTCGCATGTTCAGCAATTTGATTTTCATTTTTTTTGACGTTTTTTTTACCTAGGTAATTTTTGTATCTGGCACATTCACAGTTTCAGTATGGTAAATATGTCAAAATGTCGATTATCTGACGATTTATTCTGAGATTAATAAGTATAGATGACCCACGATAGGGTTGCCAGGTCCAAAAACACAAAAGCCGGACTCTGTGCTTCATTTGGCCGGACATTTTACCCTAAAAGCCGGACATACCTTTTTAATAGTTAACGTACCATGTCGGGGGGGAGGGGTGCAATAAGCGTCATAGCTCATGAGTGGGTACTATCATCTTTGAATTAACATTATTCTGTGGCTCGAGTTTCGACTGGCGCGGCAGCCACATTAAAAAGCCTAACAAAAGCCGGACTGGCCGGACAAGACAATATTTGGCCGGACAAGCCCCTAAAAAGCCAAACATGTCCGGCTAAAGCCGGACGCCTGGCAACCCTACCCACGCAGTACTGTCCAACCAAACTCAATGACAAGGGGGCGCGCTACCATTCGTTCAACTACATAATAATACAATGTTTTCCATCATGGCAAAAATCGGAACCAGCGATCCGGTATTGGACGGAGGCGCCCCGCTGTCATTGTCATGGATAGGACAGTTCAGTATAATGGCACTATACAGTGTGAGTCACGTTAAAGTGTACATATGAAAATAGATGAAACTAGACCTATTTTTATCGACAAAAAAGAGGTCAAAAATTTATGGAGTTTAAAAAAAAAATGATAGAATTTTTTTTCTTCCAATTACTTATTGTAAAGAAAACGTAATAACTTTTAAACTAAGCGGTATATCCTCATAAAATAAAGTCAATAATAATGCTAAATAACAGGCGATACTAAAAAAATACATAAAATACACAAAAAAGGCCAACAAATAATAAAAAATGATACTTTTTGAAAAAAATCTGCTTTTAAATTCGTGTTTTTTTGGTCATTTGATAAATTTCTCCAAAAAATGCCCCTATAACCGGTGGTTTTTATTACTTTGTATTATTCTTTATCGTATTACCTTCGTAAAACCAAAAACCGCATGTCTCTATCCCTATCACAACGTTTGCAATGATCGTTTGAACAGAGGCCAAATTTATTACGTTTTCTTTACAATAAGTAATTGGTAGAAAAAAATTTTAAAAAAATCTCAAAAAAATTTTGACCTCTTTTTTGTCGATAAAAATAGGTCTAGTTTCATCTATTTTCATATGTACACTTTAACGTGACTCACACTATTTATGTAGGTACTCTTGTTTGGTCGCATCCATCTTAGATTAATAAAGGTATCCATCCACTCATCCTGGGAAAGGACAATAACGACATAGCTGGGCATTAACTCGTTAATCCGTTAATCGTTAATTAACGAAGTTAACATTTCTATTAACGGATTAACTTTTAAGTTAACTTTAAAATGTTAACGGACTCGTTAACTTCCGTTAAATTATTCTAAGTCCGTTAATCGTTAATCCAGTACCTACTATTTACCAAAAAGATACAGCAGGCACGCTGAAAAACACTAGAAAAACGCGTTCTGACAAGTACGTTTGGGCTTCCAGAACTTCCAGAACAACAGTTTTTGTAACCAGAAAAAAACGATATAAAAATGATGTTTTTTAAATTTATTTACATGCTTATATTGACTTCACTTGTTAGTATGTGTGGGACAAATCTTGCAACTGAATTTAAGACCCGCTCTCCTCAACCGATTGAGCTGCAATTTGGTATACTTATGTAAGTACGATGAAAATGCAATGTTGTGGTACCATTGAGCTGGTCTAATGATGGAGTCAGGAGGCGAACTAAATGAAACGGCGGAATCGCATCGAATTTGGGTTCGTTAGATTTGTCTTTTTGAGCACTTCCCAAGTAACATTTTACTCCATTTAAGAGTTCACATTTAGTTCCAATGTGTACTTAAAGCATTAGTACAGTTCACTCGTGATGTATAAGCTGTATTATTGCAATTAATTACACCTATACCTGTCTAAGGGACTTATAGGAGTGTAGAGTTATACTTTTATACGATTGTTGGTGTTATAATACTCTAACAACTATCCTTTAGTCAGCCGTCTGACTAAGAGCATTATAGGAGGGTAGAGATACGGCAACCGCTGTTTAACGGCCTACTTGTACGATGTTATAGAGCTAGCATTTTAATAGAACACACGTGGTCATTTATAAAGCCAAAGGCTGTTATGTTTACTTGTTTTAGACTGTTATACAGCTAGTAGCTGTAGTAGGACTTGTTTGTGTTAATAAAATAACCGTTTTTTACTATCTGTACAAAAGTGTTTCAATGGTTCGCATGTGCACTGTAGGCTGTTAAAAGGACTATATGTGTTGTCCATTAACATCAATAGCAGTTTATTTGTCCACAAGTACTACTCTTATTTGCTTTAAGCTGAAAATGAATGTGAATGTGATATTCTATTACACTTTTCCCCAAGCCTGTTTTTAGTTGTATTTATGGTGGTTCTGTACATGATGCAGAGGAAAATATTATGCCTGAACCTGAAAGTTCCCTTCAAAATATACAGATATCAGAGTGTGATGATTGCAGTTCTAGTGATAGTGAATACAATTTTGATTTAGACAATTATTTAACCTTTAGCAAAAAAATAAGAACATGGGCTATTGAAAATCGTATTCCTCATTCCGCTTTGAATAAATTGTCAGGCATAATAAACGAATTTAAACCGGGAACACTACCGTCTGATGCTTTAGGTATTCATACTTGACTATTAGTACCTGGGCTAGGCGATTTAACGGACATTAATAATTTTTATTGCGGATCTCTAAAATTTCAGTATTTGAAAGAATTAAAGATACACAATTGTGCTACAGCTTTGGTGCCATAGTAATAAATGCTAAGGCGGACGTATTCTATCAGAATACAGCACTTTTATTTTTTGGCCGGCACTTTTGATTTTGGACCAAAATGGATGATGTCCTTTCTGACTTCACCATACCATTTATATGACCATGTTAACATGGGCTGGTGTCGGCTCATATCGCACCCTTAATAATATAGGTAACTCAAAATTTTTGGTTTTTTACTTTTTGTACTAGAGAGGCACATTTTTGTCAGTTCTACAAGATGGCTTTCACAGAAATCGAAAACAATGATCAGATAAAAGAGTTCTACATTTTGTGCCCCTTCCATACTTTCGTCTATCTTCCCGCTAGAAGGGCTGAATCAGAGACATGCCGATATTTGTCGAATCCGGCCCCCGCGACTGTGGTCCAA